GTGCCCTAGCCATTTAATATTGAGATGCAATATCCTTATGGTTATTTTTATAAGGTTTTATTATCGAAGAAAATGAAATTAAACACCTCGGATCTAAATTTTATGACCTTGTTAGATGACCTGTTGATGGGAAATAATGTCAAGGACTCTAAACTTGTCATTATAAAAAAAAATCTCGGATTTTTGCAATTATTTACCTACCAATGGCAAATATCAATTAAACTCGAATGACACAAACTCCACCCGACCCAAAATGCTTGATTTTACAATTCATCCCAGAGTCAACTCTATATTGCTGGGGTTAATTTGCAGATTTTATTGCATTCACATTGATAAAACGAAACTGTAAATGGTTTGGAACAACAAATACCAATATGGATACCGTTTTGACAGAAGGAGTTTGTCTAGGGTACCCCAAAAAAAAAAAAAAAAAAATGGGTATCATACTATCATTTGTAATTTTTGTGGGTATGTTAGAATCAATCACAACACTCCACAAAAGTGATAAAAATAGTTATTCAAAAATAGTAAAAATACACATAACAGTTATAAATCACTCACAAAAGTAAAAATAAAAAAAAATTATAAAAATACCCACAAAAATTATAAAAAATTGTGATTGATGTCTAAATTCAGCTCTAAGGGAGTTGTCAAATTTCAAACCAAAATGTCTAAATTCAAAACTAATCTCTATCTCCTTTGGCATATCCAAGATTTTATTCGTTGTTTTCTATAATTTAAAGTATCAGCAATGCTACATTGACTTAATTAATTATTGTTATTTATTTAATTGAATATTTTAATATTAATGAAGATCCATTATCTATTCAATAATTATGAATGATCCAATCAATAAATTAAATCAGTATTTTTAAATATCATTTTCCTTAAAAAAAAAAAATTACTTTGATTGGTATATGTTATTTTTTATTTATTTTATGTTTCTCTTGGAGGGGTCCAAAATCATTGCCACGTGATCTTTAAGGATAACGTAACTCTATATAGCAACGTTGTTAACTTGGCTGTGTTCGGGCTATCCCACGTCGGGTAGTTTTGGGTGTGTGAATATGTATATAAATCTCCACCTGGTCCTTATTCTGTTTGAATAAGTGGTTAGATGTGAATCAAAAAACTTGGTTGCGTTCCAAAAGTCTAATTTTCTTTGAATTTTTTATTTTTAAAATTATCAAATTTGATTTGACTTTTTTCATTTGACCCTTTTTGAATAATTTAATTTCTAATTAATAGGATAATTTCTAAACTTTCTTAATTGTCCAAAATGTTATTCCTATCATCTCTCTTTCTCGTTTCGCTTTCACATGTATAGTTTTTTTGCTCTAAATTTATACTTACTACACAATATATTTTTCTTCATCAAGTACCATATATTTTTAATTTTAAATTATTTAATAATAATGCATTGATCTCATTAAATTAAATCATTACTTATGAATTATATAACTACTCCCATAAAATTATTTTAATTCATCATCTTTAATTTAGTACAGTAATAAGTAATTTTTTAAAAATATTAGGGGCAGGGGCAAGGGGATAGGGTGGGATGAGGGTGGCAGTAGGATGGTACAAATTGTGACAAAAGATACTGAAAATATCATGCATTGCACGAGGCGTTGTTAGTACATCCGGGGCATGTTTGTTGGCGGCGTTAAATTTGGGTGGTATTAAAAATTATTTTTATTTTACTCCTATCCAATGATATATTATATCCGATCTTAAACTTATATCTCATCCTTCCCCTTATTTGTTTGTTCAATAGATATTATAATGAGTCTCACAAACAATCATCTATTTTATCACATCTTATATAACAAATATATCATTTTACCCTTAACATCTTCCATTCCATTTTACTCTTAACCATCTATACAAGGAACAAATTTAAAATAATTTTTAAAAAAAATCTATAACACCGTAAGCTTAAGCATAATATAAGGAAAAAATTTTAAAATAATTTTTTTAAAAAAAACTGGTAACACCGTACGTTTAAACATAATACAATAAAAAAATTCAAAATAATTTTAAAAAAAAATGGTAATACCGTACGTACGCTTAAACATAATATAAAGAAAAATTTTAAAATAATTTTTTTTAAAAAAAATTACAAAAAAAATTGGTGACACCGTACGCTTAAATATAATACAAAAAAAATTCAAAATAAATTTTTTATATATGAACTCTTCACATAGGAGGGAATTTCTGTCATTTTATTCGCTTATACCGTCTTTGCACTTGTACCGGAAAGACAATACCACCTGGTAGGTGGTATTGTTTAGTACCATATAGAAGACATTCAAGTCACTGTGTATATCAGATCCGTACTACGACCCGAAAAATAATACCAAGCAAAAAATATCAAACAAATAAACAGGCCCTAATGTCAATGGTGCACTTGATCTCATGTTTGTAAAGGACTCGTGCACTGGGCTATCTTCTCTGTTAAAAAAACAAAAACTAGTTTGGACACGGGGAAAAACAAAAACTAGTTTTGTCCTCGACCTCAATTGTCTGTTATTATAACTTGTATCAAAAATAAACCAATAAAAAAAATTATAATGGTGGCAGTTTTTGACATAACACGAAAATACGATTTAAAATTAATACGAAATTAATGGGTTAAAATTGATCATTTTTTAACACAAACCCATATATGACGGACCTATTACCACAAATAATAAAAGGATTGTGTTAGTGTCAAACACGAATAATACAATTTTGACACGATTAACACATTTAAATAGTATTATAAGAATAAAATATTAATTTTTATTATATTTTATCAAATAGTGACCTAATTCTTATAAAAAAAAATATTTATACTCATTTTTGTTATTATATTTATTAAATTAATTATTTGTTTATAAAAAAAATATGAACATAAGTTCGACTAAGTGATAGTAAAATTATAGACATACAACTTATCATTGGATTTTTTATTCACGGGTTATACACGTCAATATGAATACGACACGAAAATAAATAGGTTGACACGACATAACACGATTAATTAAATAAATTAGGTTAAAATTAATTAGTACTCGACACGAACCAAAAATAAATGACACAAACACAAACCGACACAATACCTGGTTGTTAGAGAAAAGTGGCCAATTTTGCATTTAAGTTATTAAGCTTTTGGTCCCAAAGAAATTTCGTTCCACCAAAATGCATGGAACTCGGTTACAACAATATCTTAATTCTACAATCGATTAATTGAATTGGAATTAATCGCATATGCATCGGACAACTACCATTTTTTGAGTGATCAATTAAACTTGAATTAATTTCATTATCATTTTGGTTGAATTAAAAATATGATGCAATAATAGTGATTACGAAGTGAAAATATGTTAGACAAATAATTTCAAAATAAAAGATTGGAGGGTAAAATTGAAAATTTAATAATTTTTAAGACTTCAACGCATTATACTGATCAAATAATTTAATTCAATTCAATATTTAACTTCCAGTGCATACCAAACACATTTCAAATTAAATCAATTCAGTATCCAACACTTAAATTTTAATATTCAATTTTTAATTTTATCAAACAACATCTATTGTTAATGAGTGAGAGACTCGTATATATAATATATATCTAACTTAAGGGGAGTCAATCGTGGTCGTGTGACTCGTATGTCATGTTATTTGTGTTTTGTCATTGTTATTCATGCAAAGACCCACAAAAAAAAGTATTTAGTGTATTATGAGTATTAAATATTATTTTAAATTATTTATTATACGAATTCAATAATCGTGTCAATTTTATAATTATTCATATTAAATTGATATCAAATTTTTATTTTATAGGCCTTCACTATCAAGTATTGCATTTTTTAAGATGGGCCCCACACAACAAACAATATAAAGTATAAACCACAAAGTCTTTGCTAGTCTTGGTTGAAGGATGTGGCTCTCGTAGGATTCATTACATACCAGTCACTACTTCCCCCACAAAAAATCATATTTAAAAATGAGGGAATTATACTTTATACCATAATATATTTAAGAATTCTCATTTTATATATTCAAAGATTAAATATTTCACATTGAACACCCAAAGTATTAAACATGTTGAATGCGGTCTTCCATTAATTTTTCATTGCTCATTTCATCAATTTCAATGGGGCTAATTTTTTATAAGCAATGAAAATTAACGGAAATATCACACTACAATACTTTTAATATACTAACAATGCACGACGTATATTGCCCGCAAATATATTTAAATAATAAATTATATGTCAAATAATTAAATCTTATATTAATTATTACTAAACCAAATTAATGATCTACTCTATTCTTCTTTGAGTACTTAATTATCATTCTTGAGTATTTGTACATCTAAATATATTATTATATTTTATGATATTGTTGCATATGAAAAAAAAATTAAATGTGACATATATTTGACAATAAAATTTAATTTTCCAATAACATGTATATAATAATAGAATATAGATTAGATTTTTTTTCATATACGCATATATAGATATATAAATTATATGTAAGTGTACTATTAATAAATGAGTTTAAAAAAAATTAGAAGTTAAATACTACTAATAAAAGAGTATAAAAAAATTTAGAAGTCTAATAACTATAGAAAATATGAAAAATCGGGTGAAAGCAAATACGTGGGTGTAATTGACTTTATAATAATAATTAAATAGAAAATAGAAAATTAATATTTTTTTACAGATTCTGGCATTTATGAATATAGATATAGATATAAATTGAGAGTGAAATATAAAAAATTTAATATTTGATAATACAAAATAAAAATTCTTAAAATTGTTAGGGTGCAAAGTATAATTGTCGGTTAAAAAATCGTCCTGCTCGACCTCTTATAATCATGTGAAAGATTTCCTCCTCTAATCTCTCTCTAAAATTATTTCCATCACAAGAAGCCAAAATTTGTAGCTGTTATATATTTACTCAATCACTCGGTGATTCGTGTCCTCTTTCGTAAGCCATGACGCTTGCATTGCTGAAACTAATTCTCTTCTTTGGACTCTTGTTCTTGTTGTTAGTCTTTGATTTCTCAATCACTTTATTTATCTTTTTTTATGCTTGGGTTTATATATATTCTACTCGAATGCCGTTGTTTATCATTTGGGATACTTGCCTGTATTGGTTGAGAGTAATCCAAATCAAACCTGAAGGCTGTCAGAGGTATTGTTTTTTTCTACTTGATTACTGAAAAAAAATAACACTGGGTTTGTCTTTTTTGATGTATCTGGGACACTAGAAATTTTTATTAATACCTGAGTAGGGAAACCAAAGGAGGGTCATGTGGGTTTAGTTGCCTTCTCTCTCTCTGCATGTTTATTTCCTGAGAAAAGCAGATCATGTTGTCACATTGAGAACTAATTGTTTTTGTAAGTTTTGGTCAAAATGGTTTAGTTCATGTAGTTTATTTATGTGTTTTTCATCAATTTAAGGATGTGTAGGGCGTGTTCTTGCTGCAGGAATTGCATTTTCCTATGTTTTTGTGAAAACCTAACGAGGGTCAAGTTGATTTACTTGCCATTTCCCTTTAAATGCATATTTCTTGAGAAAATGAGATCAGGTTGTCTAATTGAGAACCAATGTTTGTTGTTGTTAAGTTTAGGTTCGTTTGGTTTAATTCATGTAGTTTATTTATTTATTTATTTATTTTTCATCAATTTGAGGATGTTTACAGCTTGTTCTTCTTGCAGGAAGTTCATATTGTGGGGAAGTTTAGAAGTTATGGAGTGAGGATTTAACAGATAAAGGATGGAATGAGCTTAAAACTATAAAACATATTCAGGGGAATTTTGCTGCGTGGTGAATGAAAATGGGTTTTGAGCCATTGCTTTGGTATTGTCAGCCGGTGGCAAATGGCATTTGGGCACAGACAACAGATGGTGCTTTTGGTGCCTATACACCTTGTGCCACTGACTCTGCTGTGATTTGCATTTCTCATTTGGTTCTTCTAGGCTTATGCTTCTATCGAATTTGGCTAATTAAAAACAATCCCAAAGTTCAGAGGTTTCGTTTGAGATCAAATCATTATAATTATATGCTGGGTTTGTTGGCTGGTTATTGTGCTGCTGAGCCCTTGTTCAGATTGGTTATGGGTATCTCAATTTTCAACTTGGATGGACAGATCAATCTTCCTCCTTTTGAGGTATGTTTGCCCAGAAAATTGATTGGTGGACTATGATTTTCTCTGTCTCCTTGTTAACATCATATTCATATATATGATTTTCTCTGTCTCCTTGTTAACATCATATTCATATTTTAATTCACTTCTAGCATGTGCTTGCAGTGCCATATGATTCCCTTTTCCTAATGTATCCATGGAAGTAGTCTAGGGTTGACAATTATGGACTGGAAATGTTAACTGGCACGAACCCGACGTGCCTCAAACATTCAACACAAATATTAAATGGCTCATGTAGTGTAAAACATAAATAACCTGTTCTTGATATGACCCATTTAACTGGTATTGCAAGAAGATAGATCCTGATTTTTTCTTAATTTCTTGATTTAATCTTTTATAAATTGTTGTAGTATTAAATGATTTTCAATTTTGTTTTACTAGAACAGGGAACAAGTAGGTTTTTTATTTATGGTAAGCATTGCACTATAGATTTGATTGAGAGAAAAGGAGGCCCTAATCTTATGATTTCTAGTTGATGGGTTATGCGAAGATGAAACGAACATAGACACCCAAAAAAAAAAAACAGAACCTGAAATGACATGACAGCTACCATCAATTTGGGTTTATGTGTATATTTTAGAAGATACCAAAACTATAGTTGCTTTTCACTTCCATCATTTTTTTATAAAAAAGGTAAATGATTGTTTTCTAACTTGCTATTGGTTCAATTATGCTTAGAGTTGCCAGAACTAGGGGTGAGAATCGAGCCGAGCTCGACGAGCTTCACTATTCACAGGCTCAGCTCGATATTTTGTAATGATGTTCGGATTTGCCTGGAGCTCAAACATTGAGCCTTGCTTTGAGATTGACCTCGACTAGATTGAAAAAAGAAATATTCAGGCTCGCTTTTGTTTAACGAGCTCGGATCTGAGCTTAAGCTTGAATAAAGCTTGATCTAAAGCACGAAACCAGGCTCGAAGAATGGTTTTGATAGACTGTCATATTTTTCGTAAACAACCAACAGTATATAGCAAATCCAATAACAAGACAATTGCATTTGTACAATACTATAACAACTTCAAAATGTAATGACTTAACGAGGTAATGTACATACACAACTGATGCAAAAGTGTAGAAAAATCCGCTTTGAAGGATGCTATAAACTCTGGCCAACAGATTGTGGTGACAGAAGGTGCCCCCAAGTGATATTTTGGGTTGTCTTTAGGTCACCATCTCCATAAATCAGCAAAATAGGAGCATTAACCTGGGTAGTCAATTATTATCGTTCAAATATCTGGTTACTAGCTAAGAACAAGGAAGAAAAGATATACATTCATACGGACGTTGGGAGCTAACCTCGTCGACTCTGGTCCCCCTAATCTCCTCCCTTGGCTTGGCAGCTATTCGGTGGGTTGTCCTACATACCTGGAGCCGAGATTACGTTGCTTTTCTTTCTTTTTGGTCGGTCATCCAAGTGTACTAAAACGGAGTTTCTTTCTATTTTTGATCACCTTATAAGGGGAAGACTCTATTTAGTACCATAAACTCCAAACAGAGGTTAGGATTAAAGAGGACCCAATGTTGTTTGACATTCATTGGTTAATACAGGTGGTTTCCACAAGTCCACCTGCTTGTGTATATAAGCGAAAAAATGCAGTGCAGATAACTGGTTTGTTTGGCATCATCCATTTTTGTAAAGAATGGTACCAAACATCAGGATAATTCAGCAGAAAAATAACAAATGAAAATAGGTTTTTCTTTTGAGTGATTCATATGGAATTAGTTCATTTGAGAGAGATTTTATTTTTGTATTGAGAAAAGCTCTGGTATGGAAGATAAAACAATAGAATTTCCCAGAGGGAACCATTCCTTCATGCTCGCCCAGTTCATATCTCACTTGCTTTTTCCGTGTTCCTTGCATTATTGTCTTGCTTCGAACAAAACTTGGATTTTTCTAATATTTTATTCAATATGAGTCCTTTATCTCAATGAATTTTATTTCACTATATAGACACTAATTTCTTATCTGCCCTTGAGGTTTAAAACTTCTAATGACCACATGCATTAATGTTGCTTGGTTTTTTGGACACGGGTTCCATGTTTAGAAATATTCGTTGGAGTTTCTTGAATTTGAAAAGTTTTCTAGGACATGATACTTAGGACACAAAACCCTAATTTGGCCCCAAACATATAACCCTAGCCCCAACACAGTTGCCATAAATCAAAATGCCTCTATTTTCCGCTCTTCCTTTTAAAATATAAAATTTCTCAGTTTTGTGTGGCCATTTTATGCTTCAATGGGTTTTCGATTTTGAAGTTGATTGATATGAGATAATCCCTTCTTTCTGCAAATGGTTTTATGTCAATTGTCGAATGTTCATGCACTTGAATCTTGTTGTAGCATGTCTATTCGTTGTTACAGCTGCTGACTTTTTAGAAATGTGGTGATATTTGGTGTATAGGCTACATGTCTTTGTGTTTACGTGTTTCATGGTAAAATTTGGTGGTGGTGCTTTGTGGACTTTGTCCATTTCATTAACCAAGAGTTCTTGATGTATCGAATATTGTGAAAATTGTACCTATTACCTCTTCTAATGTTGATAATATGCAAATTGGGAGGAAATTGAAGCAACTATTATCTGACCCTACGCCTTGTAATAGTAAGGAGTGTGAGAAATGTTAATTAGAAAATTATGTGCTCATGACCAAGGATCAAAATTTCGTTTCAGTGTATTGTTTCGGTCACCTAAGGAACGAAAACATTTCAAAAATAGAATGAAAACAAATAAAAAATTTAATAATTATTTTGTTAAAACATTGGTTGAAATATACCAAAATATCTTGAAATATTTCGAAATAATTGTACAAATGCATTGAAATATAACAAAACATTTCGAAATATTATGGAACAGCTAGAAGTATTAAAATTTTGATTTCATCATTGATTTGTTTAGGTCTCCTTGGAAACGGAAACATTTCGGATGTTTCAACCGTTTTGAAACATGAGTCATGACTTGGTATTGGAGTAGTACGGAATCATTATCGAATGCAAAAAATCATGTTTTTGTCTATTCAACTAAACTCAGCAAAGTTTTTATCCGAACTATTTGGGGTCGGCTACGTGTTTTTGTCTACTGGCAAGCATATTTGGGAGGCAGTGAGCCATGTTTTTCTATGGCGTATGACTATGAAGGCACTCTCAAGAAGGTGACCTTTTTGTGTCAAACACTGACACTCCTCGAATCTGATACTATTTTATTTGTGTTCATAATTAAATGATAAAATCTTAATCTTTAAACCTTGTCTACTACTAAACAATAAACATGTGTTGACTTGTAATTAACAAGTTTAAAAATTTGATTATTAAGTGTCATATACTATGAGAGAACATATAATTATCAAGATTAGACATGTTAAAGTTGTACTAAAAATATAATAACAAAAGCAAAAAATACATAAAAGATTTAAAAAACCGCAATTGAGATGAGAACAATAATTTAAATTATATATTTATAGTACACGTCTATGAAAAAATTGATTTATTACCATGATGTTAGTCTAAATATTCACACTAAATGACTAGAAATAACATTTACTTATCATAAAAATAAAATACTGAATTTTTTATGAATAATTTATCATTACCACTATGTTTGTGATAAATTATATAATTTTATATATAAAACACAATTATTTATAACGTGTACCCCAAGGTGTTTGTGTTCGGTTTTTTTGAGAAATGTCATATCTGCGTGTCTGCGTCGTATCGTATCGTATCGGTGACCTGTCTCCATACTTCTTAGGTGTATGATGTTTATTGAAGCTTATTCCTCATTCGATAGAACGATAAGCTTTTGTTGACTATTACAAACTTTCAAAGGCTTACTAGATGGTTTAAATTACAATCATGCTGTTACCAGTGATATTGAGATTCTTAAGACAACATTAGGAGCTTTATGTTTTTGAGTTCTTATATGGACTCCATCATAGTCTCCAATCAATGAAGGCTCAGATTTTGGTTGGTAGGAGGAGGTAGTATTTCCTCATTGATGATGAAATTTCAAGCAAGGATAATTAAGCCTTAACGACTTCGTCAGAGAGACAGGGTTTCTCCCATGGTCATGGTGAGCATATCAGTGATGGTTTTAGAGGACGTGATGATAATGATGGTTTTGATGGGGGCCAAAGGAGAAATGATTTTGGTCCGTGATTTTGGTGGAGGCTGTGGGAGAGAGCACCTACTCAATGGTCCCATTATGAGGAGAGATTAGAGAATCACATTGTATATCATTGTTTTGATATTCGTGGTTGATCTTTACTTACCTCTCTACTTGATGTCATATAATTTTCAGATAACTCCTCAGCATCTCAATTAGAAATTAGTGTTCCTAATCCATCCGTCCATTATCTTCTAGTGATTCTATCACTCTTACTAGGGAGGAGTACAACACTTTAATTCAGTAGCACTAGCAGCTGTGTCTATCTGATACTACTACATTTGCTCATTTAGGAAACATTGCATGTCCATGGGTAATTCAGTACAGGGCTTCAGGACACATGGCCTGTAAGACTAACTTGTTCTAAACTCTCAGTCCATTTCTGCTTTTCAAACAAGGAGACCTCCTTGGTAGATATCTTACAAAAGATAACTCCCAAATATGGGACTTATAATAGCTTGATTACATATTTATAAATTATATTAGAGTTGTCTGGTTTCCAAGACCTTAATGAAGTGCACTAGTAACAATTATCAAAATAAATGGTTGCTATATACTTAATACTCAGTAATAGACTTGGGCTTTAGCACACATGACAGGTAAGAATACGTGGTTTGAAATTATCAGTCTGCTATATATTTTTGCTCTTCAAATAAGGAGACTGGCGTGGTAGATATCTTAAGAACAATGACTCTATATGTGGGTCTCGGAACAAGTTGCAAATCTGAAAATAAATTATTCTTGCATAATCACTCGACCTTTCAGTTTGCAGGAGGTGGCAATCAATTTTATTTACAAAAGCATTAATTTTTCTCTTGCAGATGGTTTCTTTGATCATTGAGGCTCTTGCTTGGTGCTCTATGATAGTTATGATTGGTGTGGAAACTAAAATCTACATCAGAGAGTTTCGATGGTACCTCCGGTTTGGAATACTTTATGTTTTAGTGGGGGATGCTGTAATACTCAGTTTCATTCTTCCGGTGAAGGATTTATACACAAGGTTAGTTTTTTAAAAAAAAATCTTAAATATCTATATTAAATGAAGCACTTCATTGTCGGATAGTGTGTAGTTATTATCGATTCCAGTGTGATATCTGATTCTGGTGAATTCTGGATTGGTGGGTGTGCTAGGGTGGCATCTGCTACGAGTTTCTCATAAGACAGTTAAAAGAAAATTGAACAGAATGGAGCAATTTTTTCCAGGTGGGTTGTGTGATTAAGTTGAATGAATGGAGCTAAATGGGTGACCGTAAGACACTCTTTTCTAATGCTTCCATTAATATGAGGTGCAATAACATCCAGTCAAACCTCTTGGCACTTTTTACTGCCATTGCTGCATCTGTTTCTTGAGATAGGATATTCAAGAGTGGCAATGAAAACCTTTTGGGTGCAACTTAAATGTGGGAAGATAGTTAGACCAGAGCATGGCAAATGCAATGAGAACTTTTTGTCTCCTAGTGCGATCTATTGTTATGGGACTATAACATTGTCCTAGTTAGGTCTGGTCCATTTCTAACGGAGTGTTTTTTGCCTTTTTATTTTGTATATGATTTCTTTTGTGTACTAGAAGTCATTATTCTTTTTGACTATTATGAATTATGGTGTTTGTGAACTCGCCGTTATCACTCCTATGTTCAAAATGTTTTATCTTGGTTGGAGAATACACTAGTCTGTCATGAGATTGCCGACTAATTATTTTCTACTATGGCAACGAGGTTAAGTGTTCTCGAGTTTTATCTCATTCTTCTTGTGTAAAATCAGACCACTTATGCATTAACATAGTGGTGTCGTCAAGGGCATAAAAAAGTAAGGAAGATTATTGTCATTAGCTATTGACGAATTATTATTTTGGAATAACTTATCTGACGACTTTAAGGTTTGACATAATACTAATTTTGCTTAATCCTTTTTCAGGTTAGTCCACTTAAACGCCTCGTTAAAGTCACTATAGTTCTTTGTCCCCTGTTTAGCTTTTTAAGATGAAAGTCGGGGATATTATTTTAGGTTGGTCAGTGGTAATAAATTTAGCTGTTAAAATTTATTTGAGGTTAATGTTTAACATGAGTTGGATTGTTTGTCTTAAAGATTTTTTTCTGGAGATAGAGAAAGTGTTTCTATATCTGTATTCATCCTTTCCTAACTAAGGGAAAAAAAAAGACAGTGAGGGAGAAAGAGAAAAAAAGAATTTATTACTATAAGATCAATTAATAGTGGAAGAGACAATACTGGATCACAAGCTGTCATCATCACTATTGTTTTTGGGTCCTGTGAGCTGATGAAAATGGTCATTGAAGAAAAATTAGCTTGTAAGCTATTCACAACACCTGTGCCTTAAGTGGTCATGAACGGCATATATTCATAATTTTATTCACTTGTGCAGATCTGTACTGTATTCGTTCGTCAGTGGGCTTTCGTGCCAGGTACACTCTATACCTACTTTGAGGATCATACGCTCGTGGGGTTTATTTTTCCTTGTTCTACTTGTTTAAGTAGTCTATCTCCATGGTATAATCTATAGTGGCTTTTGGACTGGGTCCATCAATAGACTGCACTTTGCTGGGGTAACCATTTTTCATGTATTATTTCTCCAAGAAGACAGGCTCTGACCTGGTATCTCCTGAACCTGAGCGGGCTCTGAATTAGTTTACAAATTGTCAATGTAATTTATTATTTTTGATTGAAAAACTTCATGTTACATGGTTGTATAACAAACTGATGAGGGGAATATACAAAGATAAAGGCTAAAAGTAGCCTCCATAGTAGTCCAGGACTCCAGGTTAGACAGGCTCTGAATGAGCCCACAAATAGTCATCATAATTTATTAATCTGATTGACAAATAACTCCATGTTACATCGTTCTATTACAAATCGATGATGGTAATATACACAGATAAAGACTATAAACCTTGTGCAAATGAATGACTTTCTTTGCCACGTGGGCAAATATTGACATGCATGTGATGGACTTGTACAGGCGTTAGCAGAGTTGTATAGATTTTAACCATTGGTTGATTTGGTTCTATCTTTGAGTCTTATAAATAGCAAGTCACATGTTGGTTTGTAATCTTCATTAGCAGAGTTATATAGATTTTAACCATTGGTTGATTTGGTTCTGTCTTCAATAGCGAATAAGTCACATGTTGGTTTGTTATATTTTTTTTGATGTAGGCTTTATTCGGGATACTTCTTCTTGTTTATGTTCCTGGTTTGGATCCTTACCCGGGTTATGTCCCTCTATATGCCGAGTCTCTTGACGACACTAAATATGAAGCACTACTTGGAGGAGAGCATATTTGTCCAGAGAGACATGCCAACATATTTTCCAGTAAGAAATGTTATATTTCAATGTCATCTATTCCAAGAGTATTAAAATGCAGAGATAGCTTCCCTTCCTGAGTTATTGCCCTACCATAACATTTTGTTTGATAAATGAATGTTCATTTTTTTAATAGGAAATCTAAATTAAGTTGCTTTGCCAAGAATGGACTTCCATTGGCAAGAAGCTTTTAGTTTGCATGTGTATCCTGGTCATTCCATATATATGATGCATTCAAAATTAAATTTGTCTGCCTAGATGCATTCCATGAGCATAGATGCTGGTACTCAACCTTGTGAGTGCACTCATACTTACCTTGATATTTGTAGAAATAAGGTGGTATGTAGCAGACCCCAAAAATGCTGAGACAGGAGGGAAGAAAAGAAGTGTTTTACCAGTTTCTTGCATAGGCTGTGCCTCATACCAGGACCAAACTATTCTTTCCTTCCTTCTGACAAATGATGATCAAGTGAAATGCATCTACAAATAGCTTATGCCACATACATGCATCTTACCATGACTAAACAGGATTCTGATAGTTTGGTGCATTATCTGTATTCTAGGGATATATTTTGGATGGATGACTCCTCTCATGCAGCAAGGCTACAAAAAGCCAATCACGGAGAAGGATGTTTGGAAGTTAGACACTTGGGACCAGTCTGAGACATTGAATAGAAAGTTCGCCTTTATTTTTTTTTCTTCAATCACCTTTACTTACTCGTTTATACAGTGGTTGAAGGTATACATAAGCGTTTCGACTTTTGCTAGGTTCCAGAAATGTTGGGCTGAAGAGTCTCAAAGGTCAAAACCATGGCTTTTACGTGCTTTAAATTGTAGCCTTGGAGGAAGGTGTGAATCGACTGATATTGTTCATTATGATTCTTTTTATTTGTTTCTTCTTTATTTCATCAATTATATTTTTGAAAGAACATTCATTGCTTGTTGTAGACATGCATGTCTTCTGCCATTGTAGATTTGTGCATTCATCTTATTCCAGCTCTTAATTTTTCCTGCAGGTTTTGGTATGGAGGCCTTTTCAAAGTAATGAATATTATTCTCTTCATTTACCTTTATGAATTAATTATTTCTTAAAGCAGGTTGCTGGACTTAATTTTTAGACCTCCCCAAGAAAATTCATATATGTTCTTCATGAAGTTTCCACTTATTGTTGTGATAAGGAAGCTGGGTTCATGGCCCACTAGAACTGAATTTTTGGTTTTCGCTTAATTTTATATGGCCCCGATGTTCACAAACTTGACTGATGTAAAAAACATGTGGCGCATTTAAGAAACTAGATATCAGGACAACTTCATAATGTTTTGGGTTACTGCCAGTCAAACTTATAAAATCTTTAAGTGAGCACATATATATAACTACTCCGTCTATTTTTTATTTTTTGATAAAACTATAAATTGATCATGCTGAATTATCAATGTAGAAAATTCCTAAACTTTTAGCACTGAAAATTGAAGGATTGGTTTTCGTTCATACTCCATTCCCAAATCGATGTTAGTTAGTGTGTTCAATGAATTTGTGAAAAAGTCTATATCACTCAACATTATAACCTTTGATCTTCTAAATGACGACTAATTTTTTTGAGCGAAAATGACAGCTAATTGGAAACTTGAGCACTTTGAAAAGATCTTAATCAAAGAACACACCGAAAATTTCCATCGGTGGTTGATAGGGTTATAAGTGCCCCTAATTATTGGGTATGATAAGCCCGAAGTTGGAATACTTGCCCCTTGTTTGCATCACGGATTTTAACTATGTGCATTAAAAGCCTAAATTCCCTAACGTGTTAGCCTCACCTACATTTTTATAGTTAACATTTGATAGACAGTATAACTTGAGCTCAAGTTATCTTTCTACAGTGCCATGGTCCATTCAGGTATCTGAGTCAGCTTTTATTATTTTTTCACCACAGTTTGCAATATAATGTGTATCTTGCTCTCTATTAGTCAAATAATGATATCAGAGATGGACATGGTCCTATTTGGATAAGCTGCTCTGGTATTTTTTGCAGAGTATATGGAAGTTCTCTTAGAATTCAGAGTCAACAGTATTCCTGGTGTAGAATATATTTTGAGTGCATGGCTAGAATGATGATTGCACCTATGTTTCCAAATGCCTTCAAAGCTTACTAAATCTTCCTGACTGACATGTAGATTGGCAATGATCTTGCCCAGTTTGTGGGACCCGTTATACTGAGCCATCTCTTACAGGTTTGTTTCCAATCTTGAACATTTCTCCTTGTCTAGATGATGCATCACATTGTTGACAGTCTTTATCTTATGCTGTAGAGGCCTCTCACATGTATCTTGATTCAGCCAACTCCGATTTTTCTGGTTAAGAAGATCTAGTGAATATGATATTCCCTTGCACAATTTAGATATGTGCATGTCCAAGAAGTGTAATGTATCTTACACATACTTATTCTCCCTTCGTGGAATTAGGTTTTTAAAATTTGCCTTCAGAATAGTTCATTAAGACGCAAGTCTTGTTTTCAAATTTGTCAATTCCATGGTGGAAACCTAGGATATTGAAATTCTGGTGTCGATAATCCAATGAAAGCATAACATGAAGTCTAAAAGATTCAAGGTGATGAAAACAGTGGAAACTAAACTGATAATCTGAAGGTTAAAGCATGCTCTAATGACGTAAGAGATTTGCATTTCCTAGGCTAAGGGACAGAAAAAGACCTGCAGCCTGGAGCAGCGGCCCAGCAGCATGGGGTAATCCTGACCCTATTCTTGAGTGGGTTGCGGCCACACCTAGGTGGCACACGCCTGGTCCAGTAAGCGAACAGGCTAGCCTGTGGCCCAATTCATAGACCCAGCTCTTTGGCCTGGCAGATCCTAAAAAATTTGACTGTTCCCAATGGTCAATATTTCAAGCGGTTGTATTTTTTACCATATCATATTTCCACTTACTTACCAAAATGCCATCAAATGAATCTATATATAGGCACCTAAAATTTTCATGTTGTGTCACTCTACAAAATATTGTCTTAATTGCTTCAAATTGTTTTTCATTTTATTGTATTGATATGCCAAAACCTGTTAATGTGATTAATTATTGGTGGAAGGACTATTGTTACAAGGCTTTCTAACATAAATCAGACAATATTTGTAAACTAAAATTATGTAAACCCAACAACTGGAGCTTCAAACTTTGAAGTTCTGAGAATCGCAAGCAGTCTTCGAAATAATTGCTCATTTCAATCAATAAAAATAATGTTTTTTTTTCAATTCCAACTTTGGTACCCCAATTTTTGATTATATAATTTTGGACAAGTAGATATCTATTGAGTATCCGACGCTTTGAAAAGCTAGACTTAAGTCGGGCTGGACCAAATCGCTGACTAGTCAACAGAATATCGGCCTGGCCAAATCCTAGGCCTGGGCTGTTGATTATTGGGTTGGCCCAACCTGGTGCTGACCTTTACATATTCTGTAGGTGGATTAGTTGCAATAGTTTAAATCTAGACAATTGAATGCTGGTTAGTTCATTCAAACTCAACACTGAACTAAGCACTGCATGTGCAGTTTTGCAAAAATCTGCAACATTTGAGTTGTATTTGATGATGTTTTGAATGTGGATTGAAGCAACTCTGTACAGCGTCTTGTCATGGTTCGAACGCTAATTGAAGATTGTTCGAACACTGGTTAATGTAGACCTTAATTTGAGATTCAATGACCTGGGTATGAATAGTGTTAGAAGATGGTTGGAATGAAGCGAGCCTGTCAAATCAAATGTGGCTTGCTGCTTTGGAACAACAGATGGAATTTGTTAATGAAAATTTTATCTTTGTTTAGAAACAGACTGTATATTTGGTCTAGGTATAAATATTTTATCAAACCTGGTTTTTTTGTGGCCATATTAGAGATCACCTTAAGAGCAGAAAACCAAACGAAAAAACACAAAGTCAATTCTTCATATCATGCTTTAAGCTGAAGATTTTTTTTTTAATGGTGCAACACGGACTAGGTGAGACGCACCCATCGTGCTCTTGGTGGATCTGTAAATATGGCTATAACTATTTACATGTTATGTACTAAGTCTTCAATTTACATAAAAGATAGCCAGAAAATTTTGTCCATATTTATTGTTTGTATATAGCTGTGTTTGGAAGCATCAAATAACTGTAGTTTTAGTCACGTATCGTGCTTGGGTAAATTCACCGTTATTCCTGTAATATCTCACTGAACATTTCAATTTTTTGGTAATGCTTCAAATGGAATGTGTATTCAAATGGTACAAAGATGAAAGTGAGGCTCAAATATTTTTATAATATGCAAATAGGACATGCTTTAATTTGGACCATTTCAATCTTTTCTTTCTCCCTTTTATGACAATATTAAAAAATTGCGAACATCTTACTAATAATAATGATAAAGAGGTTGGCACATAAGCTTAAAGTTTGGATTTATAGGTTGTCTGATATTAGTGTCAGAGCTATTGTTCTATCCCATGAGATCCTATGTTTAAGTCTCAACGTCAACATATGGTTCCCCAATTGTGTTTGTGCATGACGATGCACTTGCTTCATGTTCATATGTACTTATTGATGCATTTTGGTTATATGCCTCCACCTGTAAACAGCGGTCACACATGGATGGATTTTAAGAGCTTGATATTTGAAGGTTCATTCTCTGACAGCCTAAGTTTTTGAATGATTGATTGTCTGGCATGGCTAACTTTTTTGTGATAATCTAGTGTTCCGTAGTGTCTTAATTATGGCAGGGATCTCAATGTTGATGGTGTATGACCTCTTATTGTAAAGGAGATTTTTGTTTTATTGACAAAAATATATTTTCTGCTCTTTCCCTGTAATTGTTTCACGAAGTTAATCGGCTTGGGGTGTTGGAATAGAAATGATATGGTTGCGCTTATTTTTTCCTTCTTTATCTTCCTTTCCTTCCATTTTACACATAGGCAACACCTTATTATAAGCTTATGGTTTGTACTTGAACAACACAAGTTTGTAATTTCCATGAAACTGCTTACAGTCTCTGGAGCAAGGTGATCCTGCTTGGATTGGTTACATCTATGCCTTCTCAATTTTTGTAGGAGTGGTAAGAATCAAATCCTTTTTTATATTGTAAACGCTGCTGGCTCCACTAGAGAAACTAGGTGGCATATTCTTTTGTTGTGTTCAAATTTCCTTTTTGAGGTGCAAGAACAGTGTGTGTTCTGAAATTGCTTGTTATACCCAATTTTTGAAGTACTTGTCAAAGTGTCTGGCTACACTGATCGGTCACCTTAATGAAACTTGTCTCCTAAGATAATTTTGCCGGGCATGTAAATATCTGATATGGTGAGAAAAAAGTGCATAAGTGGCAAAAAAGAGATAAAAGACAGAAGATAGAGAGGATGGCTGTCCCCTGCCTTCCAAGTCTTTCTCTCACTGGAGAAAAAGAGGGAGAAATGAGGGGGGGGGGGGAGGAGGAGAGAAAATAGGAAAGGAGAGACTAGAGAGAGATAGTCTTCAAATTATTCATCATCATCTCAGGCTAATTTTGTTTCTCCCCAATAAATACTGTTTATAGGCTTAAGAAAAGTCAAAAACCTCATAGATACCAATATCTAAACTAACTCAAAATAGTCACTAAAATGATTAGAAGTCCAAGAAAATGAAAAGGCATTTGATGAGGTAAATCCTTTTAATATGTACATTGACATATTATCTCTAGTTCGCATTTTATTAATCTGTCGCTGTTAGAGAAAACTCAACCTTGCAATCTTTGTACTCTGGCTTTAGAGAGGCTACTTGCATCATCTCGATATTGTCGAAAGATTTTTGACGACCTAATACTTCAAGAATCTAGCAAATATATGAAAGACTAGGGACTTAAACATGTTTAGTGGCATTATCAACTTGTGTTTCCCACATCATATGAATCACATATTTGGGAGAACATTCAAACCTTGTGCTTTGTGATTTTGACATGGGTAAGTTATGCTTCATCTTGTTATCTTCACAGGAACTTTGGTTCTCAAGGGTGCAAGGTTAAGTTCTGTTGTTATGTATGATTTTCTTTCCCTTTTTCTTTCCTGGGGGTTGGGGGGGGGGGGGGGGGTTGCTGGTTCGGTTTGACTGAAGAGATATACATAAAGCTATCCCATGTATGGTACAAGGTAACCTGCTCCAATACATGGAAAAGGAAAGAGAAAAAGAGGGAGTTAGAGAGAGGCATGCACTAGAAGGGATGTACTCACCTATTGATATTCTCACTAGCTGGCTCTAATTAGAGTTTCCCTTTTTAATCATCACTTGTCAATAGTTGCCTTTTGAAATTAATGAATCCAGGGAATGAGGGATAAGATAAATAAAACAGGGCCCAAAATGCAAACATAATACATGAAGGTCGAAATTGCAAAATCAACAAGAGAAAACAATAGATTTAGAGAGAGCAAGGGATAGAGACAGAAATTATTTATTTATTTATTTTTTTGGGGGGTGTGCTGTATTACACTATTCCATTTAGATTTTTACTTCTGAACAGTGACTCATAATGAAACATAAAATTATATCGTGAAGCCAATGAATCAAAGAAAGGAAGATTAAATAACAAAAAGAGTGTGTCAAGGTAAAAAAGTTGCAAAATCAACAGGAAAGAATGGCTAGATTTTAAAAGTTATGACACATTGTTGAATACAATGAGTGTCAACCTACTATTCATAGGATAACTGCAGAACAACGTAAACACTAGATTTTTTGTTTTGTTGAATAGCTAAAAAATTTAAAAACAAAATAGAGAAAAGAAAACTAGACGAAGAAATAATTTTGCTAATCCTATTGATAATTATACATGGATGCTACAATACATGAATAATTATGGTGTACAAGGTTTTCTTCATTTAATATAAAGAATCACCATTAATAATGTGGGTGCCAATTTGACACAACACAACTCAACTTAACAAAAACAAAGCATTGTCCAAAAAAATTTGACACAGTAATTGTTAAATAATTACATAACCTTCCTCCCACTGGGACTTTTTTGGAGACTTGATATTCAGGGTAGGGAAAAGGCAGGTTAATTCTTTGTTGCGTTAAGGATGAAGATGGGGTTTGGTTACCCCACCTTTCCTGATTGTTCAATACTTCAGTCAAAAGGGAAACCGTTGAAAGCAAAACTTTGGTATGATGATCCGTTAGATGACTTGGGAAGTAGAAATATTTTGGAGTGACGATCTTTTAAAGGACTTTATGGTTGTCTCTTCAAGAAGTGAAAATGAGACTTCCACCCTATTTCTGTAGCTTGTAGTTGGTAACTTGGTCCAAATGCACAAATACTTAATTGCCTTTGCATGGAAAAAGGAGTTTCATTTGTTAATTTGTGTATAAACAGCAAAAGATTGGCAATGCCTGTACATCTCCCCCTCCCCCTCCCAAAAAAAAAAAAGAATAAAATAAAAACCATTTTGAGATTAGTGCAGTCCTTGCATATGTGGAACTGTTATTTCCATTGAGTCTATGTTGAATAACAAAATACTGTTCTCATGCTTAATAAGAAAAAATTAGGCATTCTATAGTAGTTTATTTCTAGCTGCACTTCTTGTTTTGTGATTTTGAAATTGACTAGATTTTTTTCACTTCATCCAGTCCTTGGGAGTGCTTTGTGAAGCTCAATACTTTCAGAATGTCATGCGTGTTGGTTTCAGGCTTAGAGCAACCTTGGTAATACCATCTTTCTCCAGTGATAGTGTAGACATGTATGTTGCTAGTTTCTGTATATCGCCTAAATCTTGGCTGCCTCATGTTTGAGGTTCTCATCAAACTAGCACTTTCTTAAAGAATTTGTAATGACCATCCAGACTATTCTCCAAAATACTTTTTGTAAAGCTGTGTAATTGAAATCTTCATTGCCAATTTCTGAGTTGTATAAGAAATTTTAGCCTGTTCTGATTCATGATTACTTAACATATATAACTGTTTTTAAAGTTCCTGCATGAATATGACTGTCCTTACATTTAGGTGGCTGCTGTGTTTCGCAAGTCTTTAAGGCTAACCCACGAGGCTCGCAAGAAATTTCCGTCTGGAAAGATAACAAATATGATGGCGACAGATGCCAGTGCACTTCAGGTACATATATAATTGAAGGGCTACTTTTGGATGCTTAATTATTCTGCTTTTATATTATTAGGATCTTGAAACTTGTAGCAGTAAGACATGGTACAGCAAAGTCAAAAAAATAAATCTATTATAGTCTACTCTGCTCTGTTGAGCTTTGTGATGTCATCAACTTCAATTTTTAGCTGAATACTGTCAAAGGCAGTTAATAAACAGAACTCAGATTGTCAAACTGTTTCAAAAAAAATTCAGGATATATTTGAGGTGAATCCAAAAATACGATTAAATGTCAACCATTTTCTGAAAGCTCATATTTGACAAGTGTGCTATGTCCATACACAAAATACTACTCCCGATATTTTGACTGTTCTTCAAGATAGCCTGTCTCATTAATGATTCAAAAGTTTCATAGAGATGTGAATATGTTCATCTCAACCTTCAAATGATTGGATACTTTTCTCATACCCTAAAATGATAACATACAAGGACAACCAAAAGAACCAGAACACCCAGAAATAGGCTTAGAAGTATGGGACATGGCTAAGATTCCAAAACTACAAAAATATACCAGAACTGAAATGTACAATGGGTTCTCCCTGAGGCACTATCTTGACTCTAATGTGGCATCTACAAGGACAGACTCAAGAGCACTACATGATGTATCTTTTTTCCATGTATTGATCTACTTTTTGCATCAAATTATACAGTACAAAAGTGAAATATTGTTATGCTATATTAATAGATGGAATACCAAAGTATTAAACTTATCTCCATTGTTAGTCAACTCAAACTCTCCATTTTCAATTTAAGGGGTTTTTGTTCATCAATTTAACTTCAATATGCAAGATTATTTATTGAAAACTAGTATCAGAGTCTAAATGAAATCTTCCAAACACATTACTTAAATTCAGGATTTTAAATATGCCGAAGTATAAATACTTAAGTTATACCATCTTCTACAACTTATGCTTTTAGAGTAGATAATATGGTATCAGATTAGGAGGTCCTTTGTTCGAATATCATTGCTACCCTAATTATTAAAAAGATTTTCACACCCAAAATCCATGTGAGGGGGCATGTTGAAGTATAAATATTTAAGTTACACTCTCTCCAACAATTTAAACTTTTGAAGTAGATGGTTGTTTAACAAAATATAATGGAGATATCTTGTATGAATACTCCATTGGAATAAACTATAAAGTAGTGCAACTTATGAAGATATTACTTTTCAGGGCATGCACTTGATATTGTCTGACAGGTTTTCATGGGATACTGATACATATACTATCTGTAATCTTTCAATTGTTTTGTGTCACTTCTCTATTCAATCGTCAACTGATAAGTTTCCATGGTGTCATGTACACATGCTAAAATATCCTTATTTTGTTCAGCAAATATGCCAACAGCTTCACGGTTTGTGGTCAGCTCCATTCCGTATTGTAATTGCCATGGTCCTTCTTTACCAGCAGTTAGGTGTAGCATCACTTCTGGGTTCTCTTATGTTGGTTCTCATGTTCCCCATACAGGTACACCAAGTTTTATTCTTCAGTATATGACTGAATATGGTTTTAAGTAAGTAATATGTTGCATGCTCCGATATTTTCTGTCTTATCTTTTTGTATTTCTTTTCTTGTGGTTATTGTTGGCGATTTCATATTAGGTTATTCCATGCTCTTTGTGCTAATTTACAGGTTGCATATACGTCCTAAATCTTGAAGGCAGAAATAAAATTGAAATTAAACACTGTCATGAAAAATCTGGGTTGCAAACTTATTGTGGTATAGCATGGACAATATGCATCCAAAAGATGACAGTCTCTCAGTTACAGTAATTTCAACAAATTGGCTTATTGTTCTGACCTCATGTTGGCTGACCCATGCAATCAGATCAAGATATATGGGTTAGTGGAATGTGTCTGTATTTGACCTCAGAACTCTTTTATTCCCATGCTTAAGAAGCCTGACCCTTGGTTTGGTGACATCATTGTGAATGCGCTCACATTATACAGATGTTACAAGGGATTGGAAACAGTTAAAAGCATTGATTTTTTTTTTTTTTTTTAGTGCCGTATTTAATAATAGGTGTGTAATTTAACTTGTAATTTATTAACTCTAGCTGATTATCATTGCTTCTGTTCAAATCAAATTATCTTGTTTAAACAGACATTTATCATAAGCAAAATGCGAAAACTTTCCAAGGAAGGACTGCAACGTACTGACAAGAGAGTCGGCCTAATGAATGAAATTTTGGCTGCCATGGACACTGTCAAGTATGATCCAATCCACCCAGGGCTGTCTTTGAGCTTTTATATTTTTTTTTTGGCAAATGACAGTGACTATTCTAATTTTGTTCTAAAAAATATCAGATGTTATGCTTGGGAGAAGAGTTTCCAATCAAAAGTCCAAAGCATTCGGAGTGATGAACTCTCATGGTTCCGGAAAGCACAATTACTGGGAGCGGTATGGCATAATGCTCAATCTTTGATTATATCTTCCTGGCGCTCTCAATTGCATGAATTCTACATTCGGAAACTATGATATTGGAAACTGCTCTTGGTAGAGTGATGTCTGCAACTGAAAGGTCATAGATTTGAAAAATGGACCTCATATTTTCATTATACAATTTTACATAGGTGATCACAAGTATGGTTAAAAAACCAGATTTGGTTAAGATACGTGGCATTTGGTAGAAAAATGGCCAACTATGATGGTAATTGTTAGTTGAACCAAGATACTGTTAAGAGGGGTGTTTGGGACTATTTTTATGCCTGCAGTTATTTGAAGCTGTTTAGTTTCTACTACCTACAGCATTTTCTATTGAGTCTTCAACATGTTACTGGTAGTGTTGCAGTTGAAGAATGTTAAACATCCATGCCAGTCATGGACTATACCTTTCTTGACGTCATCGATTTCTTATTGCCTTCCCTTACTTTCAGTGCAACAGTTTTGTACTAAACAGCATTCCTGTTCTCGTGACTGTGGTATCATTTGGGATGTTCACTTTGCTTGGTGGAGATTTGACACCTGCAAGGGCGTTTACATCACTTTCTCTGTTTGCGGTGCTACGCTTTCCGTTAAACATGCTTCCGAATCTAGTAACTCAGGTTCTCTCCTTGTCCCTCAAGCTACAATAGCTCCTCTCTTGCATGCTATTGAGACTGTTATTTGGATTCTTGCATCTAGAGTAGATTGATTGTTTCTCAATTTACTCATGTGGTGAGTCAATTCTTACTCTAGTTTCTGCTCTTTATGCATTTTACTTAATTTCGATATTTATGTCATTCTATTTCATATTCTGTTGCATCCTTGACTTGCATTTAAAGATTATTTTAAGAGCCACAACCATCCTAGAAATGGAAACATGTTGGAATTGCATCGAGGCAATAAGTTTTAGAAGCACTCATAAATAGGTTAAAAAGTAAAACTAAACCTGGTTTGATGCGGAGATAAGCCTGCATAACCATAATGTTAAGCATATGAAAAAGTAGAAGAGCAAATCTGGATAAGGGCCTTGTATAACCTAGTCTTTGGTTAATTGAGTTTAAATGTTACTATTAACAAGTTGCTAGTATGTTTAATTTTTTTTTTTTTTTTGTCAGGTTTCAGGAGTCAAGAACATTTTGGTTGTTGCAATAATTTTCATATATGGTTTGTATTGATACTTGGTTATCCATTTATTTTGAGGGTGACTTTGGTGCAGCAGTATGGTTTGAAGAGTTCGAGTCATGAAATAATCTCTGTGTATACAGAGTTAAGTCTACGTACATCTAACTTTAATCGGTTCTACACTGGTGGGAGCCTCGTACCCTGAACCGCACTATTTTGTGTTATTAGAATTTTATTTGGAGCCATAAGTTGTCTATAGAAATCTTGATGGTCAAATGCTATAATTCGTATTCTGAGATCCTAGTTCTTGTAGTTTTAGGAGAAATCTCTTAGCATATAAATATTTGTATTAGCTCAAATTTTTTGAACAGGTTTTAGCTCACTGGACTCTATGGAATGTTGTCTTAAAGAAAATTGAGATAGTGTTTGTGTGTTGTTGCGTAGCCCCTGCTAGGGTTAGGTGTGAAAACTTACATAGAAAATGAAAGATAGAAAAGAAGTTTGCTTTTCTAATGTTCCATAATAATAACAATAGGTACAAAAGGCAATATATATTAAACCGTACAATATAGAAGAGACTAGACTACCCCTAATGATAAATAAGTACAATACAATCCTAACAATCCTCTCAAACTCATGATGTGATGGTCGTTTGCATTGAAAGTTTGTCAAGAAGAGAAAATGCAACAAAGTTTGAGACTTTGTGAAAAATCAACTACCTGTACAGTGGAAGAAACGAAAGGTAAGGAGATAGTCCCATGTTATAGATAATGGTGCATAAAATGATAGTCAATCTTGATATGCTTGGTCCACTCATGAAAAACGTAGTACATGCAATCTAAATAACATTTTTGTTGTCACAATATATAAGAGTAGAAGCAATAAAGAGCCATATAGATGAGCAAGAAACCACTGCAGCCAAACTATTTCTAACATAGTAGTAGCCATTGCACGATATTTAGCCTCAACTATGGAACAAGTAACAATTGTTTGCTTATTATTTTTCCAGGGAATAAGAAAAAGGTAAATTACAACCAGACCCCTTAAGCTTTGTCACTAAACTACACGGACCCCTTCATGTGTCACATATTACACTAACACCCCCTATTACTAACAAAAAGCCAACAGATATAATCACCACCATCGCTGACCCCCTTCTACCCACAACTCCTCACTTCAGCATCACTGACCACCATTTTGCTCTAAACCCATTTTGAAATTGTTGTCAAGCTTACCATATATATAACTCCACCCACTGTCCTTCTTTTGTCCTTTATCTCTCTCTCCCTTGTGCTGCCAGCCATCCTAACCATCTCTCACTACACAACCATGGCAACCATAAAACCCATCATCACACCATAATGGCAACCATAGACCTATCTCCACACCACAATTGCAGTGATCAACAAATCCCAATCAAAGTATCAGCGAGCAAACCCCAAACAATATAGGTAATTCGTGGTGGTGGTGAGTAACTTGTAGCAAAAAAGAGAGAGATAAGGAGGAAAAGATGGTAATTGAGATGGTTCGTTTTATTCCCCCTTTCTATATTGTTCTTTGGGTTCGTTTTATTCCCTCTCTCTATATCGTTCTTTATGTAGATTTAGGCGGGTAGGGTTTGGGTCTCTATCTCTTTGCAATCAGCTATGCTTGGATTTAGATTTGATTTTGTGAAAGAGAATGTTTTAATTAAGGTGTTGGTAGCTGGTTGTGGAAGTTTCAATGAATGGGTTGGGAGTGTTAAGTAAGGTGGATTTGCAGTGGATGGGATGGGGTGGTGGTGGAGGTATGGTTGATCTCCCTTTCTCTTTCACACAAACAATTGAGCCACTGGTCTAGTTCGTATTTGTGATAGTGTAGCGATGGTGATTATGGTTTTCTGCTTCAATTCATAATGCAAGGCCTATATCATTGGAAAGATCTATGAGTCTACTTTTACTTTCTAATGCATCAAAATGGGCATTATTTGGAGTTCTCTAGATGGAGCTATGGCCAATTTTAATTAAGAGTGTCTGACCAGCCTAATAAATCGAGAATTTTTATTTTGATTTTTTGGAGTCTTATATCTATAAGTTTCATATGTTTTCCAAGATTCTTTTATAGTTTCCAAGTGTTTTTAGGTCTTAAGATTAGTTTTGAAAATGTAAGTGAAGATTACTTGTGCTTAGAGGGGTGTGGCAAGAGTAGCCTATATAAGGGTCCTTGAAGTGTCAAGTTGAGGTGGAGTTTGATAGCCTTTGGCTCATTTAAAAGATTGATTTCTTCTTGTTAAACTCTTATCCTGATCTCTGATTAGTGGCGAATTTTACTCGGTATATTTTTGGTGGACTCCTTAGAGTGGTGAACCTTTCTACTATCCCTATATTGTTCTTTATGTTACTCTCTACTTCTCGGCATTTCTGGCATCAAATTGGTATCAGAATTATTTCAACCATATTGTTTTCCTTGTGGGCATTACAAAAAAAGAATGCACATGTATGGAAGACTGAGGAGAGCGAGCTACCCAAAAGAAGTTGATGTAGAAAATTTAAGGAGACAAGTACAACAAATCCAACTTTTAATGATTTACGGCTTGAAACCTTTTATGAAGAAGAGAAGATATTTAGAGGTCAAAGTCTTAACAATGGAGCAACACACGTTTGTGAGTGCATTACCATTTGAAGCTCCAACAAGTGTCGTCCATTTTGAAGAAAGCACGCCAAACATTAATGCACTTTTGCCTAAATCATTACCCACTATTGGGAGTGTGAGGTAGCGAAATTGGAATTAGCTTCGAAATTATGTTGTCTATGTTTGCACTTTAGTTTGATGACCAGCTTTAGGATGCAGCAAGTAAGGCAACTTTTATCTGAGATGATAGTTAGAAAAATTTCAAATTTGGACTTGCAATGCAAAATTTTGGAGGTGGAAAGGTTGTTCACTTCTTTACACCGTGAATCTATGCAAACATGTTTCAGTTTTCTATTCCTGATTCAAGGCATTAACGGTCAACTTTCTTTAAATGTAAAATGTAAAAGACTAAAATGGTTGACAAGTCGAAAGCTAAATTTCAAACAACAATTAAAGGATCAAAGCCAAACTCGAGGACGAGTTTTTTTTCCAACCCGGGGAGTTTGACACGGGGGTGGCCCAAGACAAGTGAAATAGCCCATCCCATTTTGAAATTCAAAGCTCGTTTCAATTAGAGAAAAACAAAGGTTTGGTCAATCGTTAGATTTTGAGTCTACTTCCATTAACAAACTTAATCTAGTCATATCAATTAAAGATGCAAGACCTGTACCATTCGAAAGCTCTCTGAGACTACTTTCTATCGCATCATATTGTGGATTATTTGGAGTTTTATATGTATAAGTGTCTTATGTTTTCCAAGACTCTTTTATGGTTTCCAAGTGTTTTTAGGTCTTGGTCAAAGTTCTTAAGTAATTGTCTTGAAAATGTAAGTGGATATTACCTATGCTTGGAGGGGTGTTCCAAGACTGACCTATATAAGTGTTCTTGAAATATCAAGTTGAGGGCGAGTTTGATACATTGTTGAAAAATGACCTTTGGCTTGTTTAGAAGGTTGATTTCTTCTTGTTAAACTCTTATCCTTTTTAGTGGACTTATTGGTGACAAGTTTTGCTCAGTATCTCTTTGGTGGATTCCTTAGAGTGGTGAGCCTATCTACTATCCTTGGATTGTTTTTTCTGTTACCCCTTACTTCTCCGTGTTTCTAATGTCAGTAACAATGAGGTAGACAGACCCGCCAACAAGTAGGGTAAACGATTGCTAAATTTTTAGAAAAGTTTTAGACCTATCCCCCCCAATCACCCCGCCAAAAAAAAGGAAAGGGGAACTAAGTTTCTAAATATTTTTTGGTCAAACTATATAGTCCTTCAACTGTGGTTCTTAGTAGGTGGAACTTATTGCCATTGATTGCACATAAGCCATATATCCCTTTTTGAAAGTGGGATTTGGGTTTAACCTTTGGGCCTTGGGTTCTATGATTTTGCTTCCACCACTTTGTTATTATTAAGAAAGGAAAAAAATTGTTTTTTTTTCACAGTAAACAAGACTTTTATTGTAAATAATAGCGTGGGAAGGTACATAAGAGGACAAGGAGTCCTCTAGGACATATAAAAGGCAAAGAAAACATAACAAAAGAATGAATACATGGTAAACTAAAAACTAAAAATAAAAGATGTTTGTATGTCAACATTCCTCGCATACTTGGCCTAGTTCTCTTTGATCAATAAAAGTGGCATGATCCCTTCAAGTTCCTTTATCCTTGAAAGGTTCAAGCTTCTCCTAGATCGATAAGGTGGCAAGATGTTCCTTTGTTTTTAAGGCTCCTTCACTACTTCCAGAGCTAGGCCCTTTTGATGTATTACTTGGGTTTAGCTTTGGGCCTTAGGTTGTCCAATGATTCAGCCCGTCAATTGTTCTGCCTTTCCTTTTCTCACTTTGTCATTAGTGAAAAAAAATCTGCATATCATTCCAAAGAGAGGAATTGCCTATGGTCCAATACATTTACATACATGAATGACCGTATGCCATCCATCTTTGCTTTCTTTTTCTTGAAATTTAATGTTTTACTAAATTATTGCCCTTTGGCCACAATTGAGAAAACAAACCTGGTATCTCTTTCTAGTAGCGTTCGCTATATTGGATATGCCACCATGTTCAGAGATGCGAGTTTTATAGCTTAGATCCTCTAAAGTACTATGGCATTGTGACAATTCTGTAGTGCATTTGGATGAAGAGAAATGTTAGAATTTTCAATAATCGCTCTCTTCCTTCTAAATTTGTTGATTTTTTTGGCTTCACTTTGGACTAAATCTATTGGAAGTTTTAGAGGGTTGCCTTTGTCAGATCTTCAAAGGAACTAGATGGCGGCTTTATTTTAGTTTTATTTTCTCCTTTTTGGGGTTTTTTTTTCCATATGTTTTTGTTTTACTCATTTCTTGAGGATATATTGTCCTAAACATTGTATTATGCTCTTGATCTCTTTCTATAATAAAATTGTTCTTTTATCAAAAAAAAAAAGCTTAACTCCTTGGTTTGATTCCACATAACCAGATATGTTAAATTTTCTCAAATTTTTTGGATTTTTATGTTAACTAAATTTGATGGGGTCATGGTATCAAAAAAGTTGTAGTCCATTCCTCTTTTTTCCCAGTTTCATCAGAATTCGAGAAATTTGAAGAAGCAGTTTTTAAATTAGTTAATCAGACATCATTATGGGGATTCATGACAACAATAGTTAAAAGTTGCAAACCTTATTATTTTGTTGGCATGTTAGAACAGAGAAAATGCCGAATTTTTTGTGATTGGAAACTTATAGTCTCGAACATTATCTTTTGTCATGTTCTACCTTGCAGGAATGATTCTTGAAAGTAATCACTGAAACTATGTTGCTGAAGCACTAGCTATGACTTCTGTTCTGATGCAGATGTGCCTTGTTTTACTTGTTATTCTTTTGCCTTGCAGTCAGTTAGGAAATCTCAATCTTATGTTCTTTGATGAGTTATTTTGCAGGTTGTAAACGCAAATGTATCATTACAACGGCTGGAGGAACTATTCCTAGCTGAAGAGAGAATTCTTTTACCCAATCCACCTCTTGAACCCGGGCTTCCTTCCATTACAATCAAGAACGGATACTTTTCGTGGGATTCCAAGGTCTAATTTTGTGTGTGTGTGTGTGTGTGTGACTCTCTGTGTATTACTACATTTGATTTTAAGATCAGTTTCTTATTGTTGAGAAGAGTACATTTGGCTTTATCAAAAAAAAGAAGAGTACGTATTGCAGTTTGTATAACGTTTTCAAGTGTTTCATGCCAGTTATAGTTTAAATTGCTATTTATGCTCAATAAACGACAAAATGGCTCTATAGACTCTATACTCATGCTTAAAGCAGAATTAAGTCATGAGACAAGCTTTGTGGTACTTTAGGTCATCAAGCTTCAGCTCATTGTCTGTTGCTTAGTTCTTATCTCTACATTCTGCTTGATGATCAGGATACATGAACATAAAGCATCACATAATTTTGTTGTTTGATATGAAATCACTTGGCATACCAAGTTCTGATAAATTAATACTACAGAAATATGTAGATCTTAATCTGGAGAATTAACATCAAGCAATCATGCTGTTTTATCGCGTCGTCCTTATATTTGTGCCATGGATGTTTTAGGATGTCAGGTGGTCAATTTTAATGGGCCGATTTGAATTTGACAGTAGCAATAAACTGTGTGGTGCTTTGGATGCATATTGCCATGTGTCTTCACTCTTCACTTTATTAGTATAGCACTGTCCACATAGCTTAAAAATTCAAAGACAGTATAAAGCATGCCATCACTTTTATGTATGTCTTAGGAAATAGATTAGCACAAATACAGTTCGATAGGATGAATTGTTTTCCTTGATCTTTTCTCCTTTTGATCATCTAAATCCTCATGAACTGTCTAATACGCCAAGCATTTGACACGCGAGTTTTGACTTGTATGGACCGAGGATTGTATTCAGTTTGAAACCGTGGAAGACCGGAAGCCATGCTAATGACTGACACCAGAAAAAAATGTTCTCTTTCTACAATTCAATTTTTCCTAAGAAGGAGAGAGAAGGTCGATTCGATGGGAAATGCTGTTTTATGTAATTTAAATCTTAGGCAAATTCTTGTAGGACTCATTTCATTACCATGGCTGTACTTTGTTTCATAATCAAGGTATAGGCCTTGGGAACAACATAGCCACCTTGGGACAATATACAATAGAAATTATTGGTGTGGGATTCCAAAAGCCTGACTTGTTTTAAAGAATAGGTTCAACTATGTATATCAAGCTGTCAGTATCCACTCGTGTGTGATCCTACTTACACGTGGAGTAACAAAAAGAACCAGGTGCATTAATATGCACAAACAGATCCTAAGTGGGGTGCATCGTAACGCACAGACACAAAGGGGGACAATATGCAGACACAGATTTGAACCCAAGGCCTCACATAGCCAAAGCTCTGATATCACGTCAGTTACTCGAAAAGCTGAAGTTGTTCAAGAACGGACGCAACAATATATATATATATCATGCCCTTGCCTTTCTTTGTTACGTATTATTTCAATGTTTTCATGTACTTGGTGATAGTAGTACTCCTATGCTAGTAAATGTTTCTATTCTTATAAAGTTGAAGTCTGAACTCTCACTTCTATTATAGGCTGAGAAGCCGACGCTATCCAATATAAATTTGGACATACCAATTGGCAGCCTGGTTGCAATTGTAGGCAGTACCGGAGAAGGAAAGACATCACTTATATCAGCAATGCTTGGTGAGATTCCTCCTTTGGCAGATGCAAGTGTTGTCATCAGAGGATCGGTTGCTTATGTTCCACAAATTTCTTGGATTTTCAATGCTACCGTGAGCTTCTGCATGCTTCTATTCTCCATTAGCTTTCATCAATTTTTTCAGTTGTGGGATGTCTTACTCCAAAACTCTGTTACAGGTACGTGAAAACATATTGTTTGGATCTAACTTCGAACGAGAAGGATATTGGAAGACTATAGATGTAACTGCGTTGCAGCATGACCTTGACTTGCTTCCTGTTAAGTGTCGCACTGTGACATCATCCCAGTTTGTTTTCATTGATGTGTAGTATAGCTGGTTACATTAAAATGGATTTGACCTGAAATTCTTGTTTATTTCACCCTTTCTCAGGGGCATGATCTTACCGAGATTGGTGAAAGAGGGGTAAATATTAGTGGGGGGCAAAAGCAAAGGGTCTCCATGGCTAGGGCTGTGTACTCCAATTCAGATGTTTACATCTTTGACGACCCTTTAAGTGCTTTAGATGCTCATGTTGGTCGCCAGGTAACTTTTCAGCCACCTTTAAGCAGAGATGGTCAATAAGAAATGAGGCAACGAAAAATGAAAAGACAAATAATGCAGTGCAAATTCACCTCAGGATGACTCATTACTAATGTTATTCTTTTATGTTCCGAGCTGTTTGTGTTAGGGCAGAACCTTTTTATCATTATTATGTGCTCAATATGGTTTACTATATGTAAAGTGGTTTTTCGCATTGTAAACAGAATGATTTTCCAAAGTCTTTCTTGTTAACTTGTCTTTACTTGTGAACGGGCTCATCTTATTAAAAATTAGTATATGCTCAAAAGTTAAAAGACTGACAACTGGTGAGATTTTTGTTTTCGTATTTCTTTCATTCTTTTCTAGTATTCTTCTCCTGTGTTATATATGAAAATGGGTTATAATTATCACCAGATAGGCCTATTGAATCTTCCAATATAATTTTCAGCAGCACATTTCTATTTTCACCTAACCTGTAGCATCAATTATCTCCAGGTTTTTAACAAATGTATCAAGGAAGAGTTGCAAGGGAAAACAAGAGTGCTCGTTACAAACCAGCTACATTTCCTTCCTCAGGTGGACAGAATTATCCTGGTCTCTGAAGGTATGGTGAAAGAAGATGGAACTTTTGAGGAGCTTTCCAAGAATGGCACACTATTCCAAAAGCTAATGGAAAATGCAGGGAAGATGGATGTTCATGTTGATGAAAATGCAGACTGGACAAATCTTGACAATAATGCCTCAAAACCAGCTGCTAATGGAGTTCTGAATGAATTTCCAAAAGATGCAAGCTCTAGAAATAAAAGAAAAGAAGGTAAATCTGTCCTTATTAAGCAGGAAGAACGTGAGACAGGTGTTGTCAGTTGGAACGTTTTGACGCGGTAAGATTGCATATCTATGAAATTTTATGCTTTGGTTCACATAACTTTATGTTTATCCGATAATTTTTTAGTTCTTTTTATGGTAAACTAAACAGATCTTAATCCTTTCTTAAACAATATGGAAATCAGACCCCTTCATTGAGTGTTCCAGTAGACACTGAAAAAAACTAAAAATCGAACACAAAACAAATATACAACATCCAATATCCTGTGACCGGTTGTTTATTTTGTTCACTATCCTGTAAAATATTAAAGTTGAATTTGGTTAGAATAATGGTCAAGAAACATTTTTTGTAAATGTACCTACATTGCTATAACCTAACCAATATGGTATTACTTTATTGCAAAGATAATATTCACCGAGTACATACAAGATTTATTATGCAACAGACGCGAATGAATTTGCATTATGGTCACTCATTCCCAACTAATCACATTAGAGAAAGAAACTTCTGCAAGCCATCTTTCCATTGTCAGTAGGTATACCCTAGATAATACAGGTTTATCATCTTTGCGAGAGGAATACATAGTGGTTGTCATCCAGATGGTTGTCATTTAATGATTTGATAGATTCTCTGTGACTTTCCTTTATGCTAGATATATGCATTGGCATAAATATTGTGACAATCTTTATCTTCTTATCATTCCTCGAGAATGACATTCAAACTACCTTCATCTTCTGCTGCATGAGTTCATGTTTTTTCAGTCTAACAGCCCATCTTCTGTTTCTTAACCTGGTTATCCTGCATTGAAAAGCTATTCTGCACTTGAAGTGCAATATGATTATATGAGTACTCGTTGACTAATTGATAGAATGAATAATAGGGAATGTTGTTGTTTTGAAATCCCACAAAATACTGAAGGATACACATTAATAATAATCACAATGCTTCCATGTGGTGCATAATACTTCATCTTATATCTAGAGATGTTGAAGTCAGTCTCAGATCAAAGAATTTTCACCTACAGCCCACATCACCTCCCCAATCCTCACTTTTTTCTGACCTTTTTCTCATGTCCCGTTAGTTCTTTTTGCGCATGTTCCCATTTCTTACTAATATAATCTAATAACAAGGATCAAAATTTTGTTTCGGTGTATTGTTTCAGTTACCTAGGAAACGGAAACATTTCGATGTGTTTCGGAAACGTTTTGACTCTTTTTAGAACCAGAATAAAAAAATAAAAAATTTAAGAATTATTTTTTCAAAACATTGATTGAAATATACCAAAATATCTTCAAATACTTTGAAACATTCAGAAATAATTGTGAAAATACATTGAAATATAACAACTTTTTGAAACATTATAGAATACTTCGAAATATTAGAATTTCGATTCCATGACTGATTCGTTTCGGTCTCCTTGAAAACGGAAACCCTCGGACATTTTGACCGTTTTGAAACGATATTTTGATCTTTGTTCAATAATATACCAACAATTGGCGCCCAAGTATACTTGCCACCAGGAATGGTCTCTAGAGAAGATTAAGTTGATTCGTGTTCGGCTCATTAAGAAAAGATACACAGATCAACTGTTCATACTGTAATATGTTAGGTGTTAAGTCTTTCCCATCCACATGTTCACCATGCATACACATGTAGCACATCTTGTTTACTACAGACCTGAAGTTGTTATTCATCCTGTTGATGTTTGTAAAGGATGCCACAATAAAGAAATAATCTTCACGAAAAATATTCATGTGTAATGGTTCGTATTGTTCCCATTGCCATAAACTCACATTTCTAATCATTCCTGCCTGCATAGCACCAGACCAAATACTGTAATCAATTATATCAAACTTCAAGTCTATAACAGCCACACTATAAGTAAGCAAAGAACAAAGAAAAAGAAATGGAAAAAAGAAGAAGAAAAGAAGTAAACAAATGGTGAAGTTTTGTTTCATTACAAGGTTCAATACTTGAGGAAGGGACTGCAAAGGGCATTGGCCATTAATTTACGGGAGATGGATATAATTCGATTCTGCATTATCAATAGATACAAATCATTTTTTTTGGATTTTTCCTTTTTTTTTTTTTTTTTTTGGGGGGGGGGGGTAAAATAAATATACAATATTTATCTACATGCTTATTCAACAGGACCAGGCCTTGCTTTGAAAACCTACACTTTTCAAAATATGGGAACATATTTCAAAACATCTATAAAACCAGCTTTCTATGCAATGGGGAGGGTGGTCAAGAAACTTGTTCACAGGATTGTGCAGCTGAATCGGGAAGGATCAGTAGTACCCAAACATAAAATAATTGACAAGGTTGAGACTGACAAATACCATGACACGAAGGGGTGGATTTTTTTTTTCAGACATATGATACACAGACGAAGAATGATGATAATAATGGTGTAGATGATCTGGTTCTACCACTATGGTTTAGCAACTCTGGTTGAAAAAGTAATGAATTTATACCATTGTTTTACTATCCGTTCTATGCTTTTGAAACCGTCACATGTCTCAATTTATAAAAGGTGGCTAGTTGTGTTGCTCGAGTTTTCTTGTGCTAATGTGTTTGTTAGAGTTCTTATTTTCTACATGAAGTCATAAATTAGTTAGTGTGTAGGGCAAGGATCAAAGTATCGTTTGGACGCATTGTTTCAGTCACCTAAGAAATGAAAACGTTTCAAAAATGTTTCGAAAACGTTTCGGAAACATAATAAAAATAGATAAAAATTTAGAGATTTATTTTCAAAACATTTCAAAGTATTGGTCTAATATAGTTAAAGATCTTGAAATATATCGAAACATTCCAAAACATTGGTGAAAACATATTGAAACATATCAAAAAAAAACTCAATATTCTGAAATATCTCGAAAAATTTGAATTTTGATTCAATCAATGATTCGTTTCGGTGTTCTTAGAAATGAAAATATTTCGGACGTTTCGATTGTTTTTGTTAATTTTGATCAATCAAAGAAAAGTAAGAGGAAGAAAGAAGATAATATTATTGAGGCACAATTAGTCAGAACAAAGCTTAAAGGAAAACTACATATAAGAGGTCTTTATATAGTAAACTAAGCTAGGGCAACATAAAAGAAAACAATGACTAAACTACCCCTAAGTCTACATATAATAACTATTCTAACACCCTCCCTCAAACTCATGATCTGGTAACATTAAACATCAAGAGTTTGCTAAGAAGAAAACAAAAGTGTGCGATGGTGTGAGATTTCGTAAAGAAACGATCAGCAAGTAGCCAATACAATCAAACTATCTCTGCTGTTATGAAGGCCATAGCATGATACTCAGCTTCAGTAGATGATCGAACCACAACAATTTGTTTCTTATTTTTTCACGAAATAAGACAATCACCAATGAAGAGACAGAAACCAGTAGTGAACTTGCGATCCATAGAGTCACCAGCCCAGTCCGCATCAGAGTAAGCACGAAGTTCTAAAGACGATCAAATAGCAATGAGAGGTCCAACAGAAAACCAAAGCTCAACAAAAATCACCAGCAACAATGCTCAACAAAACAAATCCCAACAAAAAAAAAAAAAAAAAAAAACCAGAACTAGTCCCAAACCAGCTGTCGTCAAAATCAGAAACTAGAACCAAAAGAAGTAGCCAACGCCAAATAATTCAAAGTTTGCCACAAATCAATTTAACAACTTTACAAATCAAATACTCACCTAGCAGTTCGTTCACAAAATCAGCCCCAAAGACTCAAACCCACCAATCAAAAGTGAAAACAAAAGTTTCCTGCTTATTCAATGCGAAACAATGCAAATGGAAACAAAAGTTTCTTGCTTATTCAGTGCGAAACAATGCAATGCTATGTCAAATAACAAGGCCAAACGAACAAATCAAAAACCAGCAACGTGACAACTCACCGATGCACAAAACCAACCAATCAACAAACCAGTCCAAAAGCCCAAAGCAATAGCAACAAACGAATAAGAAACAACCAAACTAGCAACCAGAAGAAACAGCACCAGCAGAAGAGAAGAGGCAGCAGCAAGTCAAAAAAATAGCAATTCAAACAGCAGATCCCAACGTACCAACTTCACAAACCAGAAATCAACGAAGAAGCAGACGCTCAATAGACCTTAATACAAGCATCTCGAGCCAATAAATCAAACCAATAATCCAGCAACTAGACAACCCAAATTCCATAACTTTCAAAAGTTCAAAAGACAAACAGAGGCAGCAAAACAGCAAGACAGTAGCAAAACACCAAAAAGGCACTAAAAATTGAAATCTGGCACTGTTCACAGTATGAATAGTAACTTCGGTACTATTCACAGCGCGTGAACAATAATTTCGTTACTGTTCACATCCCTTAGAACTATGTTGGCTCTGATACCATGTTAATTTTGATCAATCAAAAAAAAGTAAGAGGAAGAAAGAAGAGAATATTATTGAGGCACAATTAGCCAAAACAAAGTTTAAAGGAAAATTACATATAAGAGGTTTTTATATAGTAAACTAAGTTAGGGCAACATAAAAGAAAACAAGACTAAACTACCCCTAAGTCTAAATATAATAACTATTCTAACAGTTTTAACACGATATTTTGATCCTTGGTGTAAGTTAATATTGTAATTACTATGACCATTACTTAGTTATAAATAAGGTGTAAGGCAACAGAGCCTCTACACAAAATGATTATTCTCATTTGTCCGTCTCTTCTTTTTTTCTTCTCTTTTCTTCTAACCTTAATATCACTTTTACTATTTCAACTTGATATCAGAACATCGATCTGAAAAAAAAAAAAAAAAAAAGAACATCGATCTGAGACCATACAACATCGAAAAAAAATTGTAGAAGATTTTTGGATTTTTTTTTCTATTGTTGACATCTCCTATCAGTGGTTGACATCAGCAACTGTTGACTATTGGGCCTACCTTGTGGCTCGAGTTTACATGGAGATAATTGTGGTGATTTTTGCCAATTTTTTTGAATCCATCTGAGGTGTGTTTCCTATTTTTGAATGATTTTTCAAACAAATTCAAACTATTTCTTAGATCTGAAGATCGGGGCCTTCCCAGCAGTTTTGTTGGTTGGATCTGTACGCTAGAGTACCTGATTTGGACCTAGGATTGGTCCCTTGTGTTTCCCAGACCTCTTGGGCATGTTTGGATGTGTTTTTTTAGCTTCTAAGGACCTCTGGCTTGAAGTTGTAAGGCCTAAACAATGACCAAACTATTCCAGGATTTGTGTTTCCTATTTGTTTTTCTTCTGGGGGATATTTGAGGCATTTTAGAGTATTTGGCTTTACTAGGCAGTTGGTCACCTTGATCCGACTTTGGATAGTGTATCGTGGGTCCTTCTCTTAGTTCTATTATTTGTTGTTTTTGTGTGTTGGTGGCTGTTTTGCATTTGTCCATCTTCAGGGTCTGGGTCAAGATTAACTTTCTCCTCACTTGGTTAAGTGTGTCTTTTTGGGATATTCTCGTATTCAGAAAGGTTATCGTTGTTATGAACTTGTATTTTGTCAGTGTTATGTCAGTGTCAATGTTACCTTTTTTGGGTCAACTTCTTTTTTCTCTGTTTGAGGATATATTCTTTTACCAGATTTGATATCTACTACTCAGGAGTAGCTCCAACTGCCTTTTGTACCAGATGGCGTATCTTCTTAATCTCAAATTCCAAACCTTCCATTACAAGTTTGTCGTTACTTGGACAGACATGTTGTTCCATATGCTCTTGATCCCCAGCCAACAGCTAATTCTACTGAGGTCCTTCTTCTTTAATCACTTTCTTCTAATTTGTCTATTGTATGACGGAAAGGTACTCGTACTTGTACTCACCACTCTATTTTCAACTTTATCTCTTTGCATAGACTTTCCTCGTCTTTTCATTGTTTTGCATCAACCTTGTCTTTTGTGGTTGTTCCTAGTTATTTGTAATAGGCATTAACATCTTTGGGATAAAAACTTTCTATAGATGAGGAAATTAAGGCACTCCATTACAATCATACTTGGGACCTCAATTCTCTTCCTTCTAGTAAGCAATATGTTAGTTGTCACTAGGTTTACACTGTTAAATATTATCTTGATGGGTCTATTGAGCGTTTGAAAGTATGGTTGGTTGCTAAGGGCTACACTCAAATATATTATATAGATTACAGTGAAACTTTCTCCGTGCTCGTCTTAATTTTGTTAGAGTTCTTATTTTTATTACAGTTTGCTATGACTGACCCTTGTATCAATTGGATATAAAAAATATTTTTTTACATGGAGATCTCTAGAAGAAAGTATATATGAGTTGGCCTCTACATTTTGTTGTTTCTAGCAAAAAAAACAATCTGTGTGTCAGTTGAAGAAAGCACTTTATGGCTTGAAGCAATCACCACGTGCTTAGTTTGATAAATTTAGTACTACTGTACTTTAGTTTGACTGTTAGCATTCCACTTCAAATCATTCTATCTTCATTCGTCGGTCAAAGGAGGCATTGTTATTGTTATTGTGTATGCTAACAACATCATAATTAGTGGTAATGACTCAAATGGTATTACCCACTTCAAAGTTTATTTGGGGAAGCAATTTTACACCAAAGATTTGAATTTCTTTCGGTGCTTCTTAGGGATTGAGGTTGCCCGGTCAAAGGAGGGTATCAATTTTGCCAACAAATGTATGTATTGGGCTTACTATCTGAAACTGTCACCCTTGGTGCATGTCTGATTGATACGCCCATAAATCATATAGGTTAGTTAGATCCTGAGAATGGTGAGGTGTTTGATGATAAAGGACGTTGTCAAAGGCTGGTTGGCAAATTGACTTATCTTACAGTTACACGCCTCGACATCACCTATGTTGTAGTGTGGTTAGTCAGTACATGCATGCTCCTTGTGAGCCTTATTGGGAGGCTGTGTGTTGTATCCTACAATATGTGAAAAGAGCTCCTGAGAAAAGATTATTGTATTGCCCATCATCAGCCATAACTGTTGGTTTTTTTTATGCTGACTGGGCTAGTAGTCATAGTGATAGATGATCTATGTTTGGTTATTGTACGTTTGTCGGAGAGAATCTTGTTAAATGGTGTAATAAGAAGCATAATGTGGTTGCCCATTCTAGTACGATTGTTGAATATCGTGCTATAACTCATACTTCTTGTGAGATGTTATGGGTTCGTTCACTTCGTGATATGAGACTTGATGTGTCTTCTCTTATGAGATGCATTGTGATAACCTAACAGTTATTTTCATTGCAAATAATCCAGTATGTTATGAGCGTACCAAACACATAGAGGTGGATTGTCATTTCATCCAAGATATATTGATGCGAAAGGAGGTCATCAGTCCATATGTTAAGTTTGGTGATTAGCAGAGTGATATTCTTACCAAGCCATTGGCTCAGTCTGCCATCAGTAGTTTATGTATATCTTTATGCTCTAGCTTGCAGGGGGAGTGTTAGAGTTCTTATTTTCTTATTTTCGACATTAAGTCATAAGGTAGTAAGTGTAGGATAATGTTGTAATTACCCTAAACATTACTTAGTTATAAATAAGAAGGTGTAGAGCAACAGAGCCTCTGCACACAACTGATTATTCTTTTTCTTCCGTCTCTTCATCTTTTCTTCTCTCTTCTTCTAGCCTTAATATCACTTTTACTATTTCAACTATGTTTACAAACCTGACATACATACCATGAATTCATGTTCTAATTTTACTTCATTTCTCAGGTACAAAAGTGCTTTAGGAGGCCTATGGGTTGTCTTGATCTTGTTTATGTGCTATTTTTCAACTGAAGTCCTTCGGATATCAAGTAGCACATGGCTAAGTGTTTGGACAAAGCAGAGCAGTTCACCAAGTTATGGACCCAGTCTCTACATTCTGGTTTATGCACTTTTGTCCTTTGGTCAGGTATGTATGCTTTTGATAGTTGGCATGAACACCACTTTATTTTTGCAAATTCTTGTTTTGTTCTGTATGATTTCGAGAAATTATTTCTCTCTTATCATTATCTCTTTCTCTGTCTCTCTCTCTTGAACAATAAGACCTTCTTTGTTGTTGGATTCAAGAAATTAAGGATTTTCGATCAATCAGTTTTTTTTCTTTTTTTTAACAATCTTCAATCATCTAGTCAAATATGGTATTTTTGGAAGTTTACATGAACCAAAATGCAGATAATCCATAGAAATTTATGTGTAGCATTACAAAGCTGTAACATGAACTCCTGGTTTTCTACTGGCGGAACTATTATGGACTTTCAGTTGATAATTTTTCTGAACTCTTTTTCTTTTCATTTTCACCACTTTTGATCTGTTCTAAAATTTTGGGGAAGCAAGACAGGTTTGAGGTTTTTGTTGGAAAATTTGGAGGCTTATTCTGGTTATGCTGTATGCAGGTGATGGTGACACTGACAAACTCCTTTTGGCTGATCACATCAAGTCTTAGTGCAGCTAGAAGACTTCATGATGCCATGCTACAGTCCATACTCAGAGCTCCAATGGTGTTCTTCCACACTAATCCAACTGGAAGAATAATCAACAGGTTTTCAAAGGATCTAGGTGATATAGATCGCAACGTTGCCAATTTTGTTAATGGGTTTATGGGCCAATTGTCGCAGCTTCTTTCAACTTTTGTGCTCATAGGAGTTGTGAGCACCATATCACTCTGGGCCATAATGCCACTTCTAATCTTATTTTATGCAGCCTATCTATATTATCAGGTTAGTAAAAGTTGTCTCTTTGTCTCTTTCTATTTTGGATATCATCAATCGTCCATACTTCCATCTTATTTTTTCATCTCTTTTTTTTTTTTGAATATTAGGAGTGATACTTATACCCACCTGTTGCCAAGAAACCAAAATTTTGTTCTGACTGTGCTTTGACCAAATTGGTAAACATAGAAATTTAGCAAATATTTTAAAAATGCAAGGAACTTGCAAAAAAGATATGAAAATGCTTGGGAATGCTTAGAAACATGCTGTTAATATATAAAGGAAGAAAGACAAGGCATATAAATGGTGGATTATCGACCAAACAGCAGGGTAGGCTTGAACTATTGTAGTCCAATATAACAGAATGAAAATAGTCATGAAACTATAGAATAAATGTGAAGCAAAAATTATAATTCAGAAATGACAAGTAGCAAGGTAGCTTAATATTATAATTGGATATTTATTTTGGTTAATTGGTTTCCATCCTTCAATCCCTCCTTTTGATCAGACTTTTTGATAGTTGTCAACACTAACAAAAATCTTGATAATTAGGTTAAGTTTCAACTGAGATAACTCCATTTTATTGCGGTGAATTCTGTCTTTTCACACGTACATGTTGTGGTCATTAGGAAAGTGAAACAATAGCTTTTTCCAACTCTACAAAACATTAGTATATATACTTTCTTGCTATTTATATACAGTCACTTTCCTTTTGGCACACAATGCCAGCTAGCTTGAAGGTAATTTACCTGAAATTGCTGGTGACCGCAGAAATACGCTTGGAAGAGAAAACATAAAAAACAGTGACTGCTGATATGGTTTTCTGTGTACATGTCAGTAATCCAGTGTGTCCAGGAAAACTGATATTGATGACCCCAACAATTCCATTCAAATTTCAAAGAGACAATGTTCCAGACCATTACAATTAATAGGGGCTTCTGGTGGATGATATTAACTCCCATATTTTTGATAACCAAAACCTGTGAGATGGAACTTAAATACTTCCGGGACTTTGTATTGCAAGAGTGCTTAAGGACTGCACTCATAGGTGGTCATCTTTTAATTAATGATACATCACTAATGACTGTTTATGTGCTTTTAGCTTATTTTAAGACAGTTCAAAAAAAAAAGCTTATATTAAGAATTGTATCTATGAAAAAACACATACTTATTCAGCGAGAGACTGGAAGCACACGAAATCCTATCTGAAGTTATTGGTTAACATTTCTTATGATGCAATTGTTCAAATCAATGATTGTTCCCTATATCAAGCTTTACTTATTTCTTTTTGTTGTTTCATAGATTTTTATCCTTTCAAATGTGGAATTCTTTTGTTTTTCTAAGCCAATTATTTATGTCATGACGGCATGTTGGTTAGCACTAAACTGCAATACCAAATTATATGCTTTTACAGAGCACATCCCGTGAAGTAAAACGTCTGGATTCAATTACCAGATCACCTGTATATGCACAATTTGGAGAAGCATTAAATGGTTTGTCAACAGTTCGTGCATACAAAGCATATGATCGGATGGCCACCATTAATGGGAAATCTATGGACAATAATGTCAGATTCAGCCTTGTGAATATAAGTTCAAACCGGTGGCTCACCATAAGACTGGAAGCTTTAGGAGGCATCATGATATGGTTGACAGCAACTTTTGCTGTAATGCAGAATGGAAGAACAGAAAACCAGGTGGCATTTGCATCTAAAATGGGACTGCTCCTCAGCTATTCATTGAATATTACTAGTATGTTGGGTAATGTTCTGCGACACGCAAGCAGGGCTGAAAATAGTCTAAATGCTGTTGAGCGTGTGGGCACATATATAGATTTGCCATCTGAGGCTGCAGCTATCATAGAGACCAACCGACCCCCAGCTGGATGGCCCTCATCAGGATTGATCAAGTTTGAGAATGTTGTTTTACGTTATAGGCCTGGACTTCCCCCTGTCTTGTGTACCTTGTCCTTTACAATCTCTCCAAGTGAGAAGGTAGGCATAGTTGGAAGAACAGGTGCAGGGAAATCTAGCATGCTCAATGCTTTATTCAGGATTGTAGAACTGGAAAGAGGAAGAATCTTCATTGATGATTGTGACATTGCAAAGTTTGGATTGACAGATCTACGCAAAGTGCTGAGCATCATACCACAGTCACCAGTTCTTTTCTCCGGTAAGCATCATCCATATGTAGGTTTTAGTTGGTATCAATGCTAAAATCTACCTTATACTACTTTTATGTCCTCATTTATCTTTTTTATGAGTGATATGATTTTGATTTTTTTTTTTTTGTTAATATTATCAATTTCTTATTTTAAGTTGTACACCCTGTATTTTTTGTTTCTTTGGTCTGCAGAAGTAGGTTAACTGGACCTCTTTCTTTCTTGGAAATCATTTCTAACGTCATCCTAAGTTTCAGAAAAAAAAAAAGGATTTTTTATTTTATTTTCAGTATTAAGCATTACATATTCTTCCACTATACAAAGAGAGTTAAATACATTTTCATGAAAAAACTGATCCATTATTTTCAAGGCCCTATATTGATATAAACTTAAATCTGTCTCTGACTCTCTGCTCATATTTGGATGTATATACATGCATGACATCAAAAGTAAACAAAATTTGGAATAAAAAAGGATGGAATTATGGACACATCCTTAATTCAAGGCTAAGGAAATGGAAAATCAGTAAATTCATTTAGGCTGCTCTAATCTCTTGTCAATTGTCTAGAGTTAGTGAAACGATTTGATGGAATTTGGTTTTTTAATCAGTCAACACAATCAAATGAAGGGCCAATTAGGATTGTTGCCTTATTTGTTTGATGAAGAGAAATCCCCCAAGTGTTGTCTTTTATTCTCTGATCCATTTTACAATATGCAGAACATGGACTTTTGTTAAGTTAGAATTGGTATGTTAATAAATTGTAGCTTATTGCAAGAATACGACTCTCTTAATCATTTTGAGGTTTTTTCGCAATTGATCTTATCCAATTTGTTGCTAAAGCTTGCATAGGAAACAAAAGACCTACATGATACATTTTCCATCGCATTCTGCTAATAACTAAAGAATATTTCCTCCCAAAATCAGGTTGGAGTTTTATTCCACTGTTCCAATGGGAAGGGGAAAAGGTTTGAACCCGCAATCACCGGCAGGCAAAAGTGAACCCTTACCATTGAGCCACTCCCTCACCACACAGTGCATCAAAATAAACTTGATAAAAGCAATCTTATAGAAGTTGAAAATTGTTTAAATGGACATTACTTTTTTTCACAAGCATAAAAAGAGGATCTGGTGGAATAATTTGGTTAGAGGTGTGTGTGTGTGTGTATGTGTGCACCCACGTTAAAGTTATGTGAAAGGGCCATCAGTCTGAATTGTGGACTCCTAAGGATAGACATATATGAAATATGCTATAATTTGGTGGAGATATTATGTTCAAGCATATTTGTTAATTAATTTTAAAATGTTTAAATCGATATTATTCATTGTAGTTCAGGGACCTCGTTGGATCTAATTAAGGATATTAGGTGACCACCATTCTTGCTTCTGTGTGTTTCTGATGAATATTTTCTCAGGGGAATAACCTTGATTCTGTAGATTTTAGGGAAGTCCAAGCATGGGTGTTGGATGTTGAAAATTAATGGTTTGGTTTATAAGTGGTTCACCTTACAATTTGACTGATTCTGGATCTGGACCTCTCTTCTTTTACTCTACACATCTTGGACAGGGACATATGGCTCTACTATATCACACCTTCATTCATTTACAGTATTCTTTGAAAAAGTGATCGTTAGTGTAAGTGATCTCACAATACCACCAATTCATGTCATTCTGATCAACATTTTTATCTGTGTAGGAACTGTCCGATTTAATCTTGATCCTTTCAGTGAACACAATGATGCTGATCTTTGGGAGGCTTTAGAGCGGGCACATTTAAAAGATGTCATCAGGAGGAATGGTTTGGGTCTTTACGCTGAGGTATCAATCTGAAGTTTGTTCATTCAATCCATTGTGATTGTGGTTGTCGGGGCTAATTGCTGTACCAAAATCAAATATTTGGATAAGAAGTGCACATGTTCGAATGATTCGACTTGACAATCGAGAACCTTGCTGTTCTCTTTTATAATCAATTGAAATGCTGTCAGCAGTAAGGACATTAAAGAACTTAATGATTTCCCATCCAATTGATGCTAGTTTGGACTATTGAACATCCATCTTGTGGCCCATCAATTGGAGTGACTATGATTTTACACCTAGAATGATTGAAGGCATTTGCCAGGCAGTGTTTCGAGTACATTCACTACCCAGTCAGCTTTTGAGATCTTCATACGATCCTCAGACAAAAAATATCTATTTAAGTTCTTGGTTGTTCATTTAAAAAGGTGTAAATTTTTCCCAAAACCAGCTGTAAATAATTTTTGGAAACGAAAAGAATGGTGCAAATAATTGAAGATTGTTTTGACTGCCTCAAACTCTAGGTTTTAGTCTACAGCTTGTTGGATCATATTAGCATTAAAAGTAATTTGTGATTTTAAGTCTCTTCCATCAACTTTGATTATGTGCACAAAGGAGATTTAGTTTTAAATATTGGCAACATCATTCAAAATATACTATGATTCTAAAAGAGAATTTTTACCGAAGAAGTGATTTTTCTGTGGTATGTGTCAAGGTCTCGGAGGGAGGGGAGAATTTCAGTGTTGGGCAGAGGCAGTTATTAAGTCTTGCTCGAGCTTTATTACGGAGATCAAAGATCCTTGTTCTTGATGAAGCAACAGCGGCTGTTGATGTTAGAACTGACGCACTTATACAGAAGACCATTCGAGAAGAATTCAAATCAAATACAATGCTCATCATTGCTCATCGACTAAATACCATAATTGATAGTGACCGGATTCTTGTGCTTGATGCTGGCCAGGTACACCCTCATTTTTTGTTATTCTTGCTTACCTTTTTTCTTTCCTAATTGGTGTTATTACGACAATGCATCCTTCTTTGGTGAATATAAAACATGCAGCTTAATTGAATCTACAGATGAAAGCTTAGATCAGCTAAACTCAGGAACCTGTCAATGGACTTCAAAATGAAATAAAATTCAATATTAGTCTATTTTTGGTTCTGAATTAATTGTTAAGATTTTTGTCATAAATCCGACATTCCTTTCCAGGTTCTAGAATATGATAAGCCAAAGAAACTGCTGTTAAGTGAAGGAAGTGCTTTCTCTAAGATGGTTCAATGTACTGGGGCTGCAAACACTGAGTACTTGCGCAACTTAGTACTTGAAGGGCATGATGAGAACGAGTTCAACAAAGAAAAGACCATGCAGCTCGACGGGCAGCAGAGATGGCTGGCATCTTCTCAATGGGCTGCCGCTGCACGGTTTGCTCTTGCTCTTAACCTCACTTCTTCGCTGAACAACCTCCAACCAGTGAGCTTTGAAGATGAGAACAATATCCTGAAGAAAACGAAGGATGCAGTTGTAACTCTGCAGGGAATCTTGGAGGGAAAACAAGATGAAGCCATTGAAAAGACACTGAATCAGTACCAGGTTCCTAGAGCTACATGGTGGTCAGCTTTCTACAAAGTGATTGAAGGTACAACTATGATATGCCTGCATTCATTTGCATCCATCTGCCATTGCATACATCAAGTATATGCGAAGATGACTGAATATGTTAGTGATAAATTCATGATACCAGTAGCTAACTTGGTTAACTGCAAGATTCTAATTTGCTTCCTAGCACAATGTCTAGCATTCGAGGCTGATAATTAAAAGACTTGCCCTTGCTTGACCCAAAATCTACTCCGCACATGAAAGAGGTGTTGAAGTTTATAAATACTTAAAGGAATACACTCTCTAAAAGTTCAAGTTTTTAGTTGGTAATCTAACAATTACAACTACTAAAAAACTAGAGAAATATAATCATCATAGTTGTCGTTTTTTGTTCTTTCTCTGATTGAAGAGGCTTTTTGTACAGGTCTGGCTCTGATGAGCAGGTTGGCTCAAAATGGGCTTCCGCAGTTGGAAAATGGTTTCGAGGACACCACGGATGATTGGGATCATATTGAAATGTAAGAAGGATTATTCTCCTGACGGGCCTTGGCGCCGTAATAAGACTGCTCTGTTGTGATATGGGCATCACTGATTTTACTCACGAAAACTGCATGCAAAGGTAGGGTAGTAAGACCCTTCTTAGATTCTTCGGTGGTGAGTGCATTAGATTATCTTGTAGTTTACATAGATCTACACTGACATAAAATGGATGTCTGTTTGGGCATGTTAACTTGTATGGAGCTATGGATTTTCCGAAAAACTGAACCTATAGATCACCTATGCCTATTAATGTGATTAGTCACAAATAATAGGATCCTATCATTTTAAATGCGATAACTATGTGTGCTATGTGCGTTAAATTTGCATACTTAAATGATAAAGGGGTGTCAATCGAGTCTTGTAATGTCACGTTTGGGTCATATTATTTTGGATTCGTGTCATCTTTGTGTCGTGTTTATGTGTTTATGTGTTTTGTGAACCAAAAACCACTCTTTTCCCATCATTTTATCTCATTGTGGGCCCACTGTTAATGTTGGGTCCAAAAACCCTCTCATTCTGGGCTGGAATGATTCAACCAAACAAGGTTATGTGAGCCCTTGAACTATTTTGAGCCCATCCCACCCATTTTGAATCCTTTAACTTAGCTTAGCATAAGACTGGCTTAAAATCACTCACTCAAATAACTCAAAAATAATCACTAAATTTTTTTCCTCCAAATCAGCCAATACTTTCATGCTAATCAATTTAGATTTTCCCCAAAGTTGAAAATTTTACCTATCCCATACTTTTTCACGCTAACCAATGTTAAAAGTCTTCTCTCTCCTATCTCTTTCTTTTCTTTTCCAATTTTTTTTATTAAAATGGAAGGACAAGATTAATTTTGAATTGTATAATTATAAATAATGAAAAAAAATAAATGATTATTTTATCTCTATAATAAAAAAGCATAGGAAGTTGAATTTTTTTTATTAGTATTTTTATACGACATGATTGATATTTGATTTATATGTGTTATTCAATGTCTTTAGGCACAGATTATTACTATCCTTCCATATTGCCAATCCACGTGGTCGGCCCTATTGTAAGGATAGCAAAGCCTAGACTTTAGGCCCCTATTTTTTTACTAGGCCCCATAATTTATAATTAGGGGTAATTAGAAGAGGTACATCAAATTAGAGATAGTTGTAAAAAAGTATATAGAAAAAAATGTAGAGTATAGAAGTCCTTAATTTTGATACTTATTTGTGTCTAAGTACATTATTTGAAATTTTTAGATTTTCTTTTGACATTTTTGTCCTCCCTTGATTCACGTATATTTTTTTTTTTTGCATTAAACATCTCCTAGTTTTTTAGGAGAACTTTAATATTCCGTACGTTTATATCATCCCTTGATTCATGCGTTCTTTTTTTTTTTTTTGGAAAGTGGTTTTTTTTTCAAATTATATTTATGCATCAAATATCTCCTAGTTTTATGGAAAAACTTTAATAGTTTATTTTAAGATATATCACTTTGTTTGAATTTCAAATTTTGTTAATATGTGAACACCATAACAATGTAATAATAACAGTATAACAAGACATTTACACAAAATATTGTACTATTATATTTTGTCAAACATATATTTTCATATAATTTTGTTCAAATAGTCCATTTCTGTTTTGAATTTGTTACCACATGCACAAAATTACTAAACACTGTCTTTATTATAGTGTATTATTACATTATTTTTGTTACAGTGTATTGTTACACTATTTTTGTTACACTATGAGGGAAACACAGTCAGCAGTTAGGAGATACAACCAGTTTATTCACACAATGAATTAATATGGTAAAAACACGTGGCAGAAACATCATATTTCACACAGGTCAACGATCAACTTTCAACAATCGGTTTTGGTTTTCAAATGCCAAAGTTCGTACGTGTTTTCAAATGGCAAACAAATCTTCAAAAAATATATGATGTTGACGATTTTTACATCAAATGGGCTGAACATTAGGATTTTTCCTTCAAAGACGAAACCCTATAGATGTTTAGGGAACAATTTTAGGCTTATCGCTGAAAAAAATTAAGTGATTTTTAGAGAAGAAGAAGAAGGCCACACGTTTTCCGAAGATGAAGCGCTTCGTAAATAAATTTCAGCGTATCTAATTAATTAATTAAGATATATTTCTAAAACTGTTTTAGAAAAATAAATTTTAGGATGAAGAGATTTTAAATTAAATGACCCTAAATTTCAGCACCTATGATAAATATCTTGTCACAGATTTTAGGAAATAAAATTTTACAAAATAGGTATTTACGTTTTTGTATCTCAATAGTGTAGTTTTTTCTAAATATTTTTTCTGTGTACTTTTTTACAATTATGTCTAATTTGGTGTACCAACTTCCAAATGACTCTTATAATTATGACCACTAATCCAAAATAAAAATTCAATTTTATAAAAATTGAAGCCCAGCCAAAAAGTTAAAAGTTAGATTTAAATTAGATAGTTTGGGCTTATTTCTTCGGCCCATGTACCAAAAAAAATATTTTAAAAAAATATATCTATAAAAGTGATGCACAGTTGTTAGAGATATTTTTGTATCACACTTCTCAACATATTCTTATAACCACTCACTCATTATCCTTACCTTTCTCTTTCCTCTCTCCTCTCTCCTCTCTCCATGGTAAAATAATCTAGAAAGACCAAGAGGCAAAACAGATCCCCATCTCTCTCGCTCTAGCCAACAAAGGATGGGAGACCCCTCTCTCTCCTCTCTCCAAGGTAAATTTTTTCTCTTTGACAGGGACTTTACTGTGGCATTATTTTTTGTTGGCTGAGGTGTTGTTTTGGCTTCTGCTACGATGATAATCGAATTTCACAAAAAAAAATCAAAAATAACAACAAATCAAGTGTTATTATTCTATACCTTGAATTTTTTATTTAAAGTTCTTATTATATTTTTTTTAATATAGATTGTGTATGATTGTTTAGTTAATATTTGATAGTATGGCAAGCAACCGGGTGGATATGAAAAGCTTAAAAAAAAGAGATGAATTAATGGAATCTCAAAAAAGATCTGTTGATAAATTTGTTACTAGTAACAAAAAAAAAAAAAAAAATATAGATAAAAATTTAGTAAATAAACTAATAATTACTCTTAGTGAATTAGAAGATGATAAGATAATACAACAAAAAGATATTAATGAAAATATGGACAATTCTAGTCAAACATGTAATATGACAATAGTTGATGATGAACAAAAAAAAAAATTAGACCATGAAAATTTTAATGAAACAAGTAATTATAATGCTATGAATATTTATGATTCAAGTCAATGAAATAGTATTGATACAAAACTAAGAGATTTGTTAGTAGAAAAAGGTTCTACTAGAAATAATGATTTAGATTTTCTCAAAGACGAGCTTTCTAGACATTTTTTCACTATACACTATATTTGTAATTAGCAAATAGGGAGACACATGATAGAAGATGGCTAGTATATTCAAAAGATTTAAATAGAGTATTTTTTTTTGTCAGTTATTTGATAAGACTCATAGTACAAGTAAGCTAGTTAATAAAGGGACTAAAGATTAGAGAAATCTTAGTGTTAAACTTAAAAGCCATGAAACATCTGATGAACATATTACTAATATGAATACTTGGATTGATTTAGAATCAAGATTGTTAAAAAGTGAAACAATTGATAAAACTATCCAAGAACAAATTAATAGAAAGAAAGAACATTGAAAAAACGTATTAATGAAAATTATTGTGGTTGTAAAGAATCTTGGTAAAAATAATTTGACATTTTCGGGGAAAAGATGAATGGGGAGACACTATATTTGTAATTAGCAAATGGGGTGACACATGATAGAAGATGGCTAGTATATTCAAAAGATTTAAATAGAGTATTTTGGTTTTTTGTCAGTTGTTTGATAAGACTCATAGTACAAGTAAGCTAACTAATGAAGGGACTAAAGATTAGAGAAATCTTAGTGTTAAACTTAAAAGCCATGAAACATGTGATGAACATATTACTAATATGAATACTTGGATTGATTTAGAATCAAGATTGTTAAAAAGTGAAACAATTGATAAAACCATCCAAGAACAAATTAATAGAAAGAAAGAACATTGGAAAAACGTATTAGTGAAAATTATTGCGGTTGTAAAGAATCTTGGTAAAAATAATTTGGCATTTTCGGGGAAAAGATGAAAAGATATATCAAGAAACTAATTGAAATTTTTTAAGTATAATTGAAATGATAGCATAATTTGATCCAATAATGCAAGAACACATCGGACTCATTCAACATGATAAAATTCATAATCATTATCTTGGACATAAGATACAAAATGAATTGATAAGTCTATTAGGAATTGAAATTAAAAATAATATTATTAAGAAAATTAAAGAAGTAAAATATTATGCAATTATACTTGATTGTGCTCCGAGTAATCATTAAGAATAAATGTCTCTCATATTACGTTCGTGTAGATATCTCAACAAGTCCAATAAAAATAGAAGAATATTTTTTATAGTTTCTTAAAGTAGATAATACAAGTGGAAAAGGTATTTTTGACAAAATCACAAATACAATAACAAATCTCGAACTTGATATTAATAATATACGAGGACAAGGGGATGATAATGGATCTAATATAAAAGCAAAAAAATAAAAGGGTACAAAAAAGACTTCTAGATATAAATACTAGAGAATTTTACACACTATGTGGTTGTCATAATTTAAACCTTGTACTTTGCGATATGGCTAACTCTTGTCCCAAGACTATGTCATTTTTCAGAGTAGTACAATACATAAATTCATTATTTGTTTCTTCTACAAAACGATTAAAATTTTTACAAGATAATGTACTAGGTTTAACTCTTAAATCATTGTCACAAACACATTGGGAAAGTCGAATTGAAAGGGTTAAAACAATTAAATTTCAAACTCCAAGTATAAGAGATACATTGTTACAATTAGAAGAAAGTAGTGAAGATCATAAAACAAGAAGTGAAACTAATTGTTT